TATAACTTGTTGGAAGTTTGGATTTATTTTTGATCCTCGGTTGCATACATGAGCTTTTCCACTTTGAATTCTACTTCTTTAAGGAGCGCTACCACCATCTTCGCTAAATTAAATAAGCGCCCCCTCCCCTCCCCTCCCCTCACTCTAGTACACCGCCCTCAAACGAGTCTCCCTCGCAGCCGTTTTTATCTTGTCACGTAACATTCCCAACATTCGAACCACATCTTTTCCAATTGTTTTATTAACCCAAAGCTCCTGATTACCAGAATTGTCCATCAGTCCTGTCGCATGTAGAGGCAGACCAGACAAGGCCAAATAAAAGCATGCGCGTCTCTAAAAAAATCATTGGAACTGCAAAAAACAAAAATAATGCTTTACGCATCAGTCAATTCCAGCTGCGCCCAGCGCCCCCCACCCCCCTTCCCCCACCTGGGCTACTGCATTTGCCCACCTTGTCAGTCCCGGGGGTGGGGCATTTGCAAAGTTTGTGCTGCCCGGGGGCCGGGCATTTGCCAATCCCGGGGCCATTCCAGAGCTTTGACACGCACGCGGTTTCCTATCAGAATATAACTACACAGAGGATTTTATTGGGAAAGAAAGGAGATTGGCTCATCTGTCAAGGGCAGGAAAAAATTGAAGAGGGTTGTAAAGGCATGTTCTTGATTTTATGCATGCATTTCTTCATTGCTCATCAAGCCAGAATTACATAGCGAAATCGGGAGCTATCCAGTCAACTATCGACGTGAACCAACGTTTTTTGGTCATTGAATCAAATTTCTGTTGACATTATTTGAAAAGCATCCTTTCATATTTATAAAACTATTCATAACATATAACGTTAGAGCGCTCTATTAATTTTAATGTCAATAATTTTACATCAGTACTAAAATTATAAACTGGTGCGTGCCGTCGTGGCATGAAGTCTTAATGAGAATCCTAGCGCTATTACAAAGGAAGAGGTTAACTGAAAAAAAAATCGCTCATTAAAAAGCTTAACACAGCACTATTCGACTGTGCAGTCAATGAAAAAATTTGCAGTGTTGACGGAGGACGGGGCATTTGTCCTCCTTTTTCGTCTCCACCCCGCGAGATTTGACAGCTCGAGACCCCACCCCCTGGAATTTGCCATCCAAGGCATACATACATATACATATTTTATTTACGTGGAGTCTTATACAATAAATAGTATATGAACAATTTCCAAATAACTAAAATTACAAACAACAAAAAGTTCCTAACCATATATACATGGCTAATAAGTTCTAATTAATTAAGTCCTAGAATATTTTACTTTTTGCCGTCTTCACCCCTTTCCTTTTTTCAAAGCATTCGAATACATGTTTTGCTACTAGTTTTTGTATTTCAGCATTTCCGCTGGGGGGGTTTATTAAAAACATGAATATTTTGTTAGGTGCCATTCTGCTTATTTTTATTCTATATTCTTTCATCCAAATAATCTACTAACGACCATCTTTTTTCCTGGTAAGCAGGGCATATATTTAGAAAATGGTATTGGTCCTCCATTTCTATTTTACAAATTGGGCAAATTCTTTCCGCTGGTTTCTTAAACGGTCTCGAATGACGTCCTGTCTCTATGGCTAATTTGTGGTTGCTAAGACGCAGTTTCGTTAGAGCTATTCTGTGTTGCGTATTGGTGACCTGATGTAGGTAATCTTCACATTTGTAATTGTCTATCGTTTTGAATAAACGGTAGGTTCTCATTTTGTTGCTTTGGTAAGCATCTTTACTGGTGTCGTTATTTATTTCACTTAGCCATCCTTGTAGTTCGATATCCTTAAGTCGTTGCCTTATCATGTTTACGATTCCCATGTCCGCATAGTGTGCGTTCATCCAGAGTTCTCCTAATCCTATCTGTTCTGATAAGCTTTTGGTTTTTTTGCTCCAGAGAGCTTTATATTCTTTCCATTCAATGTCATGTATTCTATTTGGGATAATTTGTTTTCATTTTTGGTTAAGGTTAACCAGAACTTAAAGTTACTACATTGGGCTTCAATTCTCATTGGGAACCTTCCTGTCTCAGCCCTGCACGCATTGTTATTGGAGTATTTTTTAACTCCCAGCAACCACTTTAGGAATTCATTTTGAACTAATTCTGCTGGATCCTTTTCTAATTGTCCATTGCAATCAATCCCCCACACTTCACTCGCATAAAAGAGTATGGGAGATATCAGTGCATCAAAAACTTCATCGTTAATTTTATATTTTCTTGAAGTGGTTTCCCATCTCTTTTCGTAATTTATAGAGTGCTTTAAGTGCAACTTTCTTCAGCTCTTGCCTAGCGAGATTAAAGTTTCCAAAAGGACTCATTATGAGTCCAAGATATTTGTAGGATTTGACGTTTTCCAGTTCATCAGCGCCGTATCTGAACAACTATACATGATACGATAGAAAGCAGGCTATGACTGGACAACATGTTAAAGGATTATTTGGTGCGAAATAGTTACAGAAAATAGAACCAAAGCTGTGATTGGCTCAATTCAGGAAAGAAATGTGGTTCGAATGTCAGCAACCATTTGTTGGGGAGGAGCGTTGCGTGACGAGACAAAAAAGGCTGCGAGGGAGACTACTCTCAAACTTACTTGAAATTAATAAGCCCCCCAGCGGAGTGGGGGGGGGTGAATAGAGGATTTACGCCAAGGTAAGATAACTTTAATACTTTAACAAGACGCTACGGAGCGACACTTCGGCGTCGTGGTTGTGGAACTGATTAAGTGTAAATGCGGAGGAATAGTAAGAAATGAAATATGGTAAGAGTAAGGTGTTAATTTGTGAAATTATGGGATTTGTCAGGATATTCTGAAAAGAGCAACATCCAAGAGGCTAGCATTTCGGGACAAATTGTCTCTGAGACATTGGCCCAGTTATGCTCTGATGACACCATACAAATCCTTCTAAATTTTACTTGGGTCTAAACATTTAGGCCTAGGTCAAATATAAGGTTACTGGCGGTGAATAACAAGTCTTACAAAACAAACAGTGAAAAAGAATTCTCTATTTTTCTTAGTCACGGCAGGCTTCAAAAACAGCATAGCACTCTCATGTACTGATTAAAGATATGTAAGGCATGGGTAAGGAGTCAATTACGTTGAGCAACTCAATGTTACGAGTTCGAATGTTTTGAGGATAATTGTTCACTGACTATCAGCACGCAGTTACGTCGGATTAACACAAGGAAGTTTAATACCAGAGGAACATAGCCTTTACAGAGCTTTAAAAAGCAGCATCCGCCAGCAAAGACTTGACTTGAACTTAAGTAAAACTACTTGAAATTCAGATATCTTACGGCTTCCGCCAACTTGTAAACACAGAACTTGAAAATCGACCTTCGTCACACTTGATTAAACCCAGCACTTCAGCTCCTGGGAAAAAACTTAGTTCGTCAAACGAACTCGCTTGGAACTTGTATCACGTTTGACATAAGGTTCGTGAAAATACTTAACAGGCGAATAGTAGTAGCTTTTCGACATATTTTATGATTTCAGTAACAGATGCAAATCTGCTGACTCAAGCTGAAATGTAAAAATATTCATGAAAAATCAAAAAACATGGAGAAGGTTCGAGAAAGTCACGCAACGCATTAAAGCAATTTTACTACGTAACACTCAACAAAGACAAAATGTCAACATCACAAAGCAGTTTGAAAGAAGGGCTCACTCGTGAAATGTTTTTCAACACTCGAAGAGAAATTTCGTGCCTCGGCTTAGACTTGCTACAAGTCGACCTCTTGGCGAGCGGAGCGAGCCTTGTAAATCCGACGAAGGACTTTTTTGAAAGTCTAGTCTCTGCGCGGCCACGTAATATGCTCTATTTATTCCTCGCGTAAATTAAAGACTAAACGCGAAGTGATCTCAAGAATAGTCCGGTCTCATTTCGTGAAATAGTCGAAACAAGCCGAAAAGTCACGAACTTGCACGCCCAATCTTGTCCCGAAGCTAGTGCATAATTTCATAACTATTTTTCACATTCCGAACTACCTTGGGTCGCAGTAACGCAATCGGCTAATCCCTCAACTTAGAGTCTCCCCTGATCTGACGGGGTACGCAGGTGAGTCGGTTCAAACCCCGGGAAAGCCAAGTTAAAGAATAAATCAAAGAAATCGAAGTGATCGCGAGATTCGGCTCTCACTTCGTCAAACAGCCGAATAAAACCGAAAAGCTACAGACTTTGCGTGCCCAATTCAACTTTGAAGGGTATGATCTGAACCTGTCTCCTTCAGGGCCGGTTATACCGTAGCAGTCAAGTTTAGATAATCGTAAGGTATGGTCAACCGTATCAACAGCTTGAGAAATTACCATTTGTATGGAAAACCCGGAAATTCCGGGCAGAGTTCAAATGGAACGGTTCATCCCGGTGGAGATTTTCCGGAAAACAAGTACTACATTTCGAGGTATTACATTTTTCCCGTTTTTACCGACACGACCGACCGCGCCAGGCTTCATCTTGAGAGAGAGCGAAAAATTTATCGGTATTTTGTAAATGGTAAACAAAATACCAGTACCATTTGACCGAATTTTTTTCACCGAAATTGTCGTACAAATGGTAAGCACTCCCTTTTTGAGGTCCAGTAAGACAACGGCGTTAATGTTGCCGTGCTTAATATTCAATACACTGGAATGGTACGATTTCTACTGTGCGACTTTAACCGACAGGGTCGTTAAACACCAACGAAAATTCTCCAAAGCCATTTATAAACCTCAAAAATGTTGTTCAAAAACCAAAACGTAACCAATAGAAGAAAACCTCAAAAGACATGAAAGGGTATTTTAACTGACAGAATAATCTTCACAAACATAGGTTCCTTGGTTTTCATAATGTTGAAGAAGAAGAGCCTCACTACTCATTCATCTCCTCTTGACAAATCAAACAACTGTGTTTCTCAGTGATGACAGAATGCACAACTTCGACACCAATGTTTAATAGAGCGCTGTGTGGATTCTTTCATGCCTCCTCAGGCTTCGTGCATGGCTAAAACACTTGCTACACAGTTTACATTTGTAAGGCTTTTCCCCAGTGTGAACTCTTTCATGAATCCTTAGGTGTCCTGCTAGGCTAAAACACTTGCTACACTGTTTACATTCATAAGGCTTTTCCCCAGTGTGAACTCTCTCGTGAATTTTTAGGTGTCCTGCTTGGCTAAAACACTTCCTACACTGTTTACATTCGTAAGGCTTTTCCCCAGTGTGAACTCTTTCATGAATCCTTAGATCTCCTGCTACATTAAAACACACGTCACACTGTTTACATTCATACCGCTTTTCCACAGTGTGAACTCTTTCATGCCTCCTCAGGTTTGCTGCTCGGCCAAAACACTGGCCACATTGTTTACATTCATAAGGCTTTTCCCCAGTGTGAATTCCTTCATGACTCCTTAGGTTTCCTGGTTGCCTAAAACACATGCCACACTGTTTACATTTATAAGGCTTTTCCCCAGTGTGAACTCTTTCATGACTCCATAGGTATCTTGCTTTGCTAAAACACTTGCCACATTGCTTACATTCACAAGGCTTTTCCCCAGTGTGAACTCTTTCATGCCTCCTTAGGGTTCCTGCATTTCTAAAACACTTGCCACATTGTTTACATTCATAAGGCTTTTCCCCAGTGTGAACTCTTTCGTGACTCTTTAGGGTTCCTGTATTTCTAAAACACCTGCCACACTGTTTACATTCATAAGGCTTTTCCCCATTGTGAACTCGTTCATGAGTCCTTAGGTTTCCTGCTTGGCTAAAACACTTGTCACACTGTTTACATTCATAAGGCTTTTCTCCAGTGTGAACTCTTTCATGAAACCTTAGGGCTCCTGATCGGCTAAAACACTTGCCACACTGTTTACATTCATAAGGCTTTTCCCCACTGTGAACTCTTTCATGAGTCCTTAGGTTTCCGGCTCTGCTAAAACACTTGTCACATTGTTTACATTCATAAGGCTTTTCCCCAGTGTGAACTCTTTCATGAATCCTTAGGGTTTCTGCTCGGCTAAAACACTTGCCACATTGTTTACATTCATAAGGCTTTTCCCCAGTGTGAACTCTTTCATGAATCCTTAGGGTTCCGGCTTGGCTAAAACACTTGCCACACTCTGTACATTCGTAAGGCTTTTGCCCATTGTGAACTCTTTGATGACTCCTTAGGTCTCCTGCTAGACTAAAGCACTTGCTGCACTGCAGGCACTTAAAGGACATTGAGTTTGTTCTTCTTGAAACGTGTTATAGTTATGGTACCCTTTGGGAGGAAAAAGAAACATTCTCAGGTAAATGCACAATGATATTTTGTTTTGGTGCCCCAACTTTGTAGCCAGGGGGTGCGACATCTGAATGTTGTTAGGAAGATGTGGAAAATTAGAAAACTTTAAAGATACCTGCCTATGAAAAAATGGTTCTAGGCCTGTCATAAACAGACTACATACCTACATGTACAACTTTACATGACCCCTTCAACATGGAGAATCCATCAACAGGGTTAAATTAATCATTTGTTGACTTTGTATTTGGATCGGGGACTTCCCTGTGGTTTGTAAAATAACAGGCATTTATAAATCGTAATTAAGGCTCATCATGCAGCTTTAATACAGAAAATAGTAGAACCTGTATTACCATAAATGCCCTATAAAGCTCCCTGGGGGCTTATTTTTTAAGCATGTTTAACAGAGAGTAAGGATTATTTGAGAGGGACCTGGTTATTTGATTTAGTGAAATTCACTACCAAAAGCAAAAAATAAAAAGAAGAGGAAGAAGCAGACTAAAGAAACGGGTGCCTTTCGCCGATCGACAGCATTATCTGCGGTAAGAAAACAATATTCCACATCATGAAAAAATTGGCATAAAGCAAAATGTGTCAAAAGCGTAAGAATGGGGCGGAGTGTACCAGAGGTACAAAAATAAAAACTTCAGCAAGTGTCACTCTTGAAAGGCAAAACAATAGTCTTTAAAACAAAACATCCACAAACTCGTTTCTTTACTCACATTAGTTTAGGCCTGTCTCATAGTAAATCGATCTGTAAAGGAACATGCTGGTTGACAAAATCCCTCAAAAGACAAAAATAGATTCTAAAAAACAAAAGGTCCACAAAGGAGTTGCAATTCTCATGGAAGGTGAGGGACTGTGAGGACTAGCTCAATGTAAATTGAACTGCAAAGAACACGTTGGTTCTGATAAAAGTTTTGAGGGTATAAGCCTATTCATTGAACAGCTACTTCTTCAAATTCAATTTACAACGAAAAAGAGAACACTGAAAACGAGCTGGCTCCGACAAAAATTTGAGCTTGCAACCCTATTCTTTGATCAGCTGTTGCTTTATACATAAATTATCATGCATAACTGAGCACTAATAGCTCTTTCAAACAAGAAATCATCTTAAAGCTTTCTCACAACTTAGATCCTCAGGAGCAGATAATGACCAGTTTTACACTGGATCACTTAATCTCATACCAGGAGTTGTAAATAAAACACCATGACATGATTGCCCAAATATGGGGTCTTACTTACAATCAAATATGGTCAAAAATTCAAATTATAGAGGGTTACACAGAATTATGAATCTGCAGCAGACGCAACCTCGCTTCTTAGCTTGGTTGCCTCATTAACAATAACATACATTTACAATATTGGTCATCAAGGTTTATCATGCAGCTTTCCTACAGACAATTTAGTGGAACCTGTATCACCATAAATCCTCTATAAAGCTCCCTGGGTGCTTATTTTTTAAGCATGTTTAACAGACAGGGAGGATTATTTGATAGGGAGGTTACTTAATTTCGTGAAATGTATTATGATTTTCCCAAGTTACTTACTTCAAATCAGTGTCAAATTGAACGGGCTTTGGAAAATTTGACCCCAAATGAACAGACTACGAAATAAATACTGTGCTTTTTGGGTGGGTTTTAGAAAGAAAGAGGAAAGCTTCTATTTTTTTCCCGACCCGGTCATCCTTACAAATAATGAACCGTCCCTAAATTGAAAATGCTTTGGCCTTTATGTAACCAGGGAGTTAATCTGAAGACAGACTCCAAACCTCTGTATTACAGTTCACTGAAATAAAAATATACTCCTTCTATCTTAAAATACAACAAAGACTAAAGCAAATTTAATATGAGTCGTTAACAACAGCCACAGAAATTACACAAACAGGAGATTCTAGAAAAACATCTTCAAATCACTTGACCAATCTTTGTGTTCTATGGAATGCATACCATGAATTATTTTGCATCTTTGGGGATTTTTATGCTTAAGGAAAGCAGGACTCAGAGGTGACAAAATCGTTGGATCAGTCAACATGAAGTGTCACAGTTTGATTTATTAATACAACCTATCCCTTATTCATTTGGTCTGAATAATAATTAACAATTATTCCTCAAGCCTAAATGGGCCCTGAGTCAATAGACCATGAGGTCGAAGGCCATGAGAGCGAGAGGAATAACAGTTTTAGTAAAATCCAACTAGTTGGTCAAATGCTTTTACAATTGTGTACGTGAAATCACAGCAGATAACTAACTTGGAAATTGAATTGAACAACAAAGTAAACAAGACTCTTATTGAATTCAACTATTTTCTTCAAAATTGTTTAGGTACAAGTCGACTGCTATCCGTGAAGAGCATGGAGAGACTGCTGTATCCACAGGCAAAGATAATATGTGACAACGCTCGGCGTGCGTGTTAAGTGTAGAACTGTCAAGGACTGGAATGCATAACCAAGTGAAATTGTTAACATTAAGTCCGCACAGCGATTCAAAAAAGTCGTATTTGAATATTTTAGTCAAGGATGAATTTTTAATATTACATAATGATTGATGCTGTGGAATTTTTATCCATTTTATCTTTTGTTGAAAATTTTTTCACGTCATTACTTTTAACTTTATTTCATTTTATTCAGTTCGGCGTCTTGGGTGATGGCAACCCTGTTGCAAGACTACAGATTTTTGAATAAAGGTGACCAACGGTCATTTAGATGCAATTATATAGTAAAACATGAAAAGCTTATTGAAGCCTTCAGATACCAAACAACGTAATAAGCTTGGAAACATCAGAAAATTTAAAAAACAGCAGATAGATATTTGTATCTGGGCAACCAAGTTCAGGTTCGTTGTTATTAGGATCTGATGGCCCCATATCGAGCCCGAAAGTAGTAGGACTCAAAATCATCTGTGGGTGTTCTCATCCTAGTACTAAGCTAGCCGCTGTCATTTGACTTTCACAACTGAATATATCCATAATGTATTGAAAACTTTCTTACCTTTAGTAACAAGACCTTGTCGCTTTGATCAAATCACACGACAGAAGATAAAACCAAGAACTGAAGGATTCATAAATCACGTTCTGATGGCGGCCATTTTGATTATCACACAACCTCGTCCCCAGGGTCTTCTCGTCAAATTGGGAAGCGAGAAGACCCTGAGGGAGAGGTTGAGGAGTGCAAAAACTCGTGCGGAGTGGGGACCTAAGCTACAAGCTAGATAAGTGTGGCCCGGGTGACGGGTGTTCCTTTTTTTGTTTGTTCGTTTGTTTAGTGATCAGTTTCTAACTGGAATGCGTTACCAGGCGAAATTGTAAACATTAAGTCCATAATTTACAATAATTTATGCTATGATGTTATCATCCATTTTATCTTTTGTAGGAGATTTTGTAACTGTTATAATTATTTTCAACTTTAGGGAAAGTTCATTTAATATGACAAGGGGGGGATGAAGATATTGAGGGGGGGGCTCTGAAAAAATTGTTGCGCTAGGAGGGGGGGCTCCGAAAATTTGTATACTTCAAAACCAACACATGACATCATCATACAGATCGGATGGTTCTCAACTCAACAATTTAATGACCTGTGCAACTCAGCTATATCACGTGGTTTACAGATATAACAAATGTAGTCTCAGTAATTATTACATTTTTGTTCATCCCAAAAATGCTTTAGAAAATTTCAAAAATTAGAAATGCTCAAACTTTTTATAGTAAAACCACATTGATTCAAACTATGTGTGAAGCATCGGAGTAGAGGTAGGCACTCTGCGACAACAAATAATCGAGAACTCAACAGGGATCTCATCACAACTGTATCTCAAGTTTGTCATAGTATAAACCATTGAAGACAATAACGGTAAATATATTTAACACAGTCTAGCGATCTTTTTTCAGGGGAGCAAAGGAATTGAAGGAGGAGGGGGGGGCTCTGAAATTTTTTCGACTACCAAGGAGGGGGCTCCTAAAAAATTGAACCGCTAGCGAGAGGGGCTGCTAAAATTTCAAGCTTCGAGTTTCAATATCTTCATCCCCCCCCCCCCCCTTGTCATATTAAATGAACTTTCCCTTATTACATTTGATTTAGCTAGACGTCTTCAGTGATGGCACCTGTAATGCAAGACTATAATTTTTTTAATAACGGCTAAGAAATTGGATAACTTTACTTTCAACACATTTACTTTTAGTTATCTTATCTTTCATGCACGAGTAACTCATTTTCCAAATATATGAACGATTCACGCAAAGATCGGGGTGAGAAAATATAAAATATCAGCAAGTCCAAGCAACAAATCGTTGAATGGTGCCGGATCTCTTAGTTGTAGACCTGTAACTTGTACTGTGTACAAAATCATAAACACGGCAAACTGATCCTTAAAACAAAAAATATATATATTGAAATATATTTGTCTATTAATAATCACAGGAGTTCAGGCTTCAGGAGTAATCATTGATCGTTTATTGCGACACTGCTGTTTCGTATGGTCCGAAATTGTAGGACCACACTCATCAGGCAACTTCAACGATTGACCGTTAAAATTAAAAGCTGGCAGTAAATATAGGGATGCGTTAAGAGATAGTATCTAGGTAACAGATGGATTGTGTCTTAGTTACGTTACTCTAAAGTTCTGAAGTACCTATCTGTTTCTGATATCTGTTTCTGTGGGGGCATGAACTCGCTAGTTCGTTTCGCCTGTTTAGGCTACAAAGCTACAAAGATATGTACTTCAGAACTCTAGAGTAACGTAACTAAGACACAATCCATCTGTTACCTAGATACTATCTCTTAACGCATCCCTGTATTTACTGCCAGCTTTTAATTTTAACGGTCAATCGTTGAAGTTGCCTGATGAGTGTGGTCCTACAATTTCGGACCATACGAAACAGCACTGTCGCAATAAACGATCAATGATTACTCCTGAAGCCTGAACTCCTGTGATTATTAATAGTCAATGCTATTCAATTAAATGAATTGAGCGCTCTACGAAATACGTTCTACCCAGAATACAAGTAAACATATTTGTCTATATATTCTTCGTTTTATTCTTTTGTTTACTTCCTCATTGCCGTTTTATAATTTTCTACAAGTGATTCGGGTGGTCATTGGGGTGGGAGGGGTTCGTAACCTCCGCCCAAAGCGAGGAAAAGGAACGAGCGCTCGCGGGATTGACTTCTGATACTTCCCTGGGTTCCCTGGCCTTCGACGGTAAAGCATTTTCTGTACGTTCAAGGTCGAAACTTCTGTTGAATACTACTGATTTTTCATTACCGTAGCATGGGGAGGGGCCCGAGTGGCATGGAACCTCCCAATAATTTTGACAGGCACGTTTAATTTGGCCAGCGGCCACGCTCTTCACGCTGCTCTTCAGTTCAATGTGTTCATTTCAGTTCGATAAAGACTGAAAATTATTTCTTTATAGCTTCAACAAAGAAAAATTAAGCGGGTATTAAACAAAGTACACTTCTTAAATGGGAACGAAATAAATGCTCTCAGAAGGCCTAAAATGTTATTTCAGAGACCCTGCATATTTCAAAATCTTTGCATTAGTAGTGTCTCCGAGTAAGACGTTATATAAAGGGATCTTTATTTTTTAGACTGTTCACAGTCCCCTATTTTCTCGTGAGATCGTTGAGATATAGCGCGTCTTTTAATGACAGCCATCTTGGTTTTCAAATGTACCGAGGGGGCGGGCGTCGGGGAACGCAAAGCGCTCGATCTCGACGATCTTACGGAAAAATAGAGGACTGTGAACAGTCTATTATTTTTAAATAAGTGACCCGCGCCTTCCAACACATGTCCGCAGGTATCTCAAACAAGGCAGAAATCTGGCCTGCGACAGGAGCCCATTAGAACGGTCTTGGCGCGAATTTAGAATACCGTAAAATTTCGAAAATAAACCCCTTCATGTATAAGCCCCTCCAAATGTAAGCCCCCCAAACTCGTAACCCAAAAACCCGTTCGTTAAATCGCCCTCCAAATATAGTCCCCCAGGGGCTTGTACTTGGAAATTGTCCTAAAATTCAAAATAAAGCAAAGCAAAAACTGTACAGTAACACAAAATTTTTTGCATTTGCCAAAGAACTATTACGTGTGCCAAATGATTGCAGTCAAAATGTGTCAGACTATATTGCTGTTTGCATAGTTCACTCTTTAACTCTTGGCTTGGATTTCCTAGTTCCATATACACAAAGTACTCGCATGGCTTAGTTTCCATGGTTTCAGTAAGATCTACGTTCTCAAGGCTAGTTTTAGTAAAAACTTTCTGCAAATTACTGATAAAGTTTGCTTCCAACCATAAGCTAGCCCAATCGATTTTGAGACGTAAATTTCCCTCTCAGTATAAGCCTGGCCGGTTTTGAAACGCAAATTTCCCTCCGTAGATAAGCCCTTCCCAATACAGGCCCCTCCAAAAATATGCCCCTCAAAAGAGGCTTTTGAAAAATATAAGCCCCGGGGCTTATTTTCGGAATTTTACAGTATCTTTAAAGTCACACAAACCAGTCTGGAAAACCTACAGCCCTAAAAATAATACCTTTGGCCTTTTAATGACGTTACGTTTTCCTCTTTGATAGCTTATACTTCGAATGCGTTCATGGACGTTACGGAGATTCCATTTTCGAGGGAAAAGTTGCCTTAAAATGTGTCTACAGCTAAACCGGTCAGTAAAAACGCCGTGACATAGGCCTAGTATGGGGTTTGCACGCTCCGGGTTATGGAGTCCTGCCTGCGATCAGGCTCTCTGGGCGAACGAAGCGAGCCGCGAGGGGGCACCCCCGCTTTCGCATCTCTTCTCGCGTGCCTCACGCGCGTCTACTTTTCACCATATCCCCAAATGAGCTTGCTCGCCAGCTAATCGGCAATCTCTTAAATAAATCGCTCACATGCACTCAAAGCCGGTAATGATATTGGTCTTAGAAATTTACGAGGCTATAAAATGTACAACCTATACTTTCTATCAGTAGTTTTCATTACAAAATGCAGCAAAACGGTCAGTTACTTAGCGAGCAGTTCAGTTCTCCACTACTACTTGCACTAGCCAAAACGACTGCACTTGTTTCTTAGAGGGGTGGAATTTTTGGGAGAATTAGGTTTTCTCAGTACATTGCGTGCGTTTTGCGGGCCGGTAGTATTAAGAAAAATCGAAACGTGGACAATTGGCAATATCTTGGACCTTCAAAATTGATTATATGGCAAATAGACAACTTTGTGTACGTATTTTGATAATGGCATCACAATTTCAAAAGTAAAATTATAAGAAAGTTGTAAATCTGATTATTCACAAAGTTTGCTGCTGATCATAATGATCTTTCAGTAGTGTTCCAAGTTGGGGGCTTCTTAGCAAACACATGAACGATGCAGAAAAAAGTATGTTAGAAAGTACCCGGGGGGTGGGGGGAAACCCCTTTAAAAGTCATATAGGTATGTGCCGCCCCAAAGGGTATGGTTTTTGGACCTTTTTGGTCTGAAAACGGAATCGACTACGGTTTATGAGGGAACTACGTATGAACGTACTTATCGTAGACATATTAAATTCTGCAAGTAGAATACTACAATGCTGATCGTACTACCTGAAAATTAACTCTGCAAGACATCAACACCACACCGAACGAACTCTAGACTACGAGTAGTCCCCCATTTTTCCTCAGGGATAGTAGAGCGAGCGAAACGCGAGCGCGCGTGAAAATCACCCCACGCGAGAAAAGGCGACACGCGGCGGGGAGAGAGAAAAATGAGGGACTACAGACAAAGCCCAAGCTGTCTGTAGTCCCTCATTTTTCTCTCTCCCCGCCGCGTGTAGCCTTTTCTCGCGTGGGTTGATTTTCACGCGCGCTCGCGTTTTGCTCGCTCTACTATCCCTGAGGAAAAATGGGGGACTACTCGTAGTCTAAACGAACTCAAAACGAAGCGGGATTGTAGCCATAGACAGCTTTTTCGCCCTCTTTGGGGCTCGTCAGTATGGCGTAACAACCAGAGAAAGCTCTGATGAAAAATATCCACGCACTCTGATTTAAGCCCCGACCTAGAACACTCAACACCCCCGCAAAACAAAAAACGACAAACAACGAAACAGAAATATGCGAATTCGAAATGCATTTGAATAAATTTTATGTCTATGCTCTAATCTAAGTAATCATGACATAATTTCTGGCTAAAGGCAAGGTCTGAAAACGGGTATCGATTTTAAAGGTCTGGTCTGAAAACGGGTGTCAAAATGACATTTTTGGTCTGAAATAGGGTCAGGATTTAGAGAACTGGACGCCACAACAAGATTTTCTAAGAGTACCCCCCAGGGATAGTACATATAAGTTATATTTCTCTAGTTACGTGACACTAAACAGATGAGACTAGGGCTCTAACTTGTAAATTTACCTTGAAGATTCTTAAATGAAAAAAATTCGGTTCTTATAAAATTCTGTAGGCCCAAAATCTTCACTGATGGCACTTTCAGTTTCTTTTAAAGGCAGTTTTAGAACAAAGTTTTTCATAGATTGACAAAATCTTGCAATGGCCTGTCTTCTTGCTTTCTTTAGAAAATTTTCTGGCAAACTATGTTAAGAACTGCTCAACCATCCCAAAAAATTAAGAGCGATTTTGCAATTACATGTACATTGTAGGCAAAGTATCACTAATTCACTTTGTTTAAAATCATTGGTCAACAACCCTCCAATGCCTGTGAGGAGGTGCAAGGTGATTTGACGCACCCCCTCCTCCAAGAGCCTACAGAATTCCCCATAGTTTTTACTTTGATTAACTTAAGAGTCATCTTCACAAACATAGGTCATATGGTTTTCATAATGTTGAAGAAGAAGAGCCTTACTACTCATCTCCTCTTGACAAATCCAGCAGCTGTAATTCTCAAAGATGACCAATTGTGCATCTGCTAGATCAGTGTTTCCAGTCTCCCTCTGTGTTTGAAGGTTGTTTGCAAAACCTATGGCTCTGCTAACATTAACGTTTTTACTTCCCGTTCTCTTCCACTTCGAAGATTCCAAACGTTTAGACACACTTTTGTTTTTCCAGGAACATTTGCATGACTCGACCAGGGTGTGGATTCTCTCATGCTTCCTCAGGCTTCCAGCTTCACTGAAACGCTTGCCACACTGTTTACATTCATCAGGCTTTTTCCCAGTGTGAACTTTTTCATGAAACCTTAGGCTTACTGCTTGGCTAAAACACTTGCCACACTCTTTACATTCGTAAGGCTTTTCCCCAGTGTGAAGCCTTTCATGAATCCTTAGGTTTCCTGCTTGGCTAAAACACTTGCCACACTGTTTACATTCGTAACGCTTTTCCCCAGTATGAACTCTTTTATGAATCCTTAGGCTTCCTGCTTGGCTAAAACACTTGCCACACTGTTTACATTCATAAGGCTTTTCCCCAGTGTGAACTCTTTCATGCTTTCTTAGGCTTTCTGTTTGATTAAAACACTTGCCACACTGTTTACATTCAAAAGGCTTTTCCCCAGTGTGAACTCTTTCATGAATCCTTAGGTTTCCTGCTTGGCTAAAACATTTGCCACATTGTTTACATTTGTAAGGCTTTTCCCCAGTGTGAACTCTTTCATGAATTCTTAGGGATCTTGCTTGGCTAAACCGCTTGCCACAATGTTTACATTTGTAAGGCCTTTCCCCAGTGTGAATTCCTTCATGATTCCTTAGGTGTCCTGCTTGGCTAAAACACTTGCCACACTGTTTACATTGGTAAGACTTTTCCCCAGTGTGAATTCGTTCATGATTCTTTAAGTGTCCTGCATTTCTAAAACACTTCCCACACTGTTTACATTCATAAGGCTTTTCCCCAGTGTGAACTCTTTCATGACTCGTTAGGCTTCCTGTTTGATTAAAACACTTGCCACACTGTTTACATTCATAAGGCTTTTCCCCAGTGTGAACTCTTTCATGAATCCTTAGGGTTCCTGCTTGGCTAAAACACTTGCCACACTCTTTACATTCGTAAGGCTTTTCCCCACTGTGAACTCTTTCATGGCTCCTTAGGTCTCCTGCTAGACTAAAGCACTCGCTGCACTGCAGGCACTTAAAGGACATTGAGTTGTTCTTCTTATAACGTGTGATAGTTACGGCATCCTTTGGCAGGAAAAAGAAACATTCTCAGGTAAATGCACAATGATATTTTGTTTTGGTGCCCCAACTTTGTAGCCAGGGGCTGCAACTTCTGAATGTTGTTAGGGAGATGTGGAAAATTAGAAAACTTTAAAAATACCTGCCTGCGAAAAAGAGGTTCTAGACCAGCCTCCTTCCCAGTCGTGCTCTGCAATTTCGGATGTGACGTCATCTTTCAAGCTTGTCGGGAAAATTCGGTTCCAAGCCTCCTCTGGTAACTCGGATAGCGTGAACTGGCCTGGGTACGAGGCTGGTTCTAAACCTTTCATAACCTGACTACATACCTAACATGTACAACTTTACATGACCTATTCAACATGGAAAATCCATCAACAGGGTTAATTTAATCATTTGTTGACTTTGTATTTGGATCGGAGACTTCCCCATGGTTTGTAAAAGGTAATTAAGGCTCATCATGCACCTTTAATACAGAAAATAGGGGAACCCGTATTACTGTTAATCCCCTATAAAGCTCCCTGGGGGCTTATTCTTTAAGCACGTTTAACAGAGGGTAACTATTATTTGAGAGGGATGGTTATTTAATTTAGTGAAATGCATTACAAAAGGCAAAAAAAAGAAGAAGAAGAAGAAGAAGCAGACTAAAGAAATGGTTTCCTTTCGCCAATCAACAGCATCATGCGGGGTAAGAAAACAGTATTCCGCATGGTAAAATATGTGATGAAAAAATTGGTGTAAAGCAAAAAGGGTGAAAAGCCCAAGAATGGGGCGAAATGTACCTGAGGTATAAAAATAAAAACTTCAGTGAGTGTCACAGGACAAAAAGACTCTTGAAAGGCATAAACGTATTCCCCAGCCTGTGCCAGATCCTGAAAATCCCACCCATTTTAAATCAGTCAATGAGACACCAACTACCACACAAAAAGGCAACCTCGAGTGCCACATAATTTTCAACGATGTGTAAACATAAAGAAAATGTTTAGTGCAGGCATGTTATCAACGAAAGAAGAGATGCAGCAGTTTTAGGAGAATTTTGCCATGGAGCCACACTTGATCAAGACATACATGTATATTGCTCATCTAGAAGATCTCAAACAACAAAGCAGTATTTTTAAGAGAACAAGGAGGCGCACAGAACAAAAGCGTAAATTGACGTCCAAAACATTTAAAGAATATGCCTGGCACCATCTCGTGGAGTCTGGAGATTTACAAAAGTTGCTTGTGTCTGAGCTCAATAAGTATCTTAAACATTACAAACTCATAAGCAATGGCACCAAAGCTGAAAAGATAAGGTGAATCTCGTTGCATGTGCTTCGTGGGGAGGGTAGTCAATGGTAAGATATAAATGAGTCTACTGACAAGGAAGCAAAGGAAGGTGGAACGGAAAACGACGGCGAAGAAATTGATGGCTCAGGGGATGATAAACGTGAGGAGGATAATGTCCTTGCAGAATGGTCAAGTGGGCCTGACTCAGAGCATGACACGACTTTGGGCGAACGGGAATGTTATAGCATCGATGAAAGTGATAAGATATGGTTTGTCTTTCAGAGCGATTCAGAGCAAGAAGAATTTTATGGTTTTGATTGTGTTTGCAAACAGTTGATGTTCTTAAAATTTCATGCAGGTCGCCATAACAGAATCTAATAAATCAATGTAGTATAATATAATTATAAATTTGTTTAATTTTTGCATTAGTTACCAGTCTTTCCATGTCTTTCTGATTCAACAGAGACCTGGAACAAAGCATTGAATGACCTCTCGAATCATCTCGCGAACGTGTTCTCAACTAATTTTAAACACAGGTTTGTAGAAATTTATTCCTTTAAAAAAATGTTGAACACTTTCAGGGAAACTTTTACTTCACAAGAAGTTCTATTTCGCGAGGTTGGAAAACTCCAAAGGTTCTTCCAAGTCATTGTATTTGATTCAAACATCTGAACATACACTAGTTGCTCCAGTTGTAAATATTCATTCCATGATTTTCACAAGTTACTCACTTCAAATCGGTGTCAAATTGAACAGGCTTTGGAAAATTTGACCCCAAATACTGAACGGGCTACGAAAAAGACATTGTGCTTTTTGGGCGGGCTTTAGAAAGAAAGAGGAAGGCTTTCATTTTTTTCCTGACCCGGTCATCCTTATAAATAATGAACCATCCCTAAATTGAAAATGCTTTGGCCTTTATGTAACCAGGGAGTTAATCTGAAGACAGACTCCAAACCTCTGTATTACAGTTTACTGAAATAAAAATATACTCCTTCTATTTTAAAGTACAACAAAGACTAAAAGAAATTTAATATGCATCGTTAACAACAACCACAGAAATTACACAAACAGGATATTCTACAAAAACATCTTCATATCACTTGACCAATCTTTGTGTCCTATGGGATGCATACCAAGAATTATTTTGTATCTTTGGGGATTTTTATGCTTAAGGGAAGCAGGACTCAATGGTGAAAAAATTGCTGGATCAGTTAACATGAAGTGTCACTGTTTGGTTTATTAATACAACCTATCACTTATTCATTTGGTTCAAATAATAATAAACGATTATTCCTCGAGCCTGAATGGGCTCTGAGTCAATAGACCATGAGGTCGAAGGCCATATGGGCTATTGACTCAAAGGCCATGAGAGCGAGAGGAATAATACTTTTAGTAAAATCCAACTAGTTGGTCAAATGCTTTCACAATTGTGTACGTGAATAAGAAAGCCCTTATATATTAAGAAATCACAGCAGATAACTAATGTGGACATTGAATTAAACAACAAAGTAAACAAGACTCTTATTGAATTCAACTATTTCCTTCCAAATTGCTTAGATACAAGTAGACTGCTATCCGTGAAGAGCAAGGAGAGACGGCTGTATTCAAAGGCAAAGATAATACATGACAATGCTCGACGTCCGTGTTAGGAAAGCAAAGGTCATTTAGATGGAATAGTAAATCATGAAAAGATAAGTTTAAAGCTTATTGAAGCCTTCAGATACAAAACAACGTAATAAGCTTGGAAACGAAAAAAAATTAAAAACAGCAGATAGATATTTGTATCTGGGAAACCAAGTTCGGGTCCGTTGTTATCAGGATCTGATGGCCCCATATCGAGTCCGAAAGAGCTCGAAAGTAGTAGGACTCGGGATCATCTGTGTGTGTCCTCATCCGAGTAGCTAGCTGCTATCATTTGACTTTCACAACTGAATGTATCCATATAATGTATTGAAAACGTTCTTACCTTTAGTAAGAAGACCCTGTCGCTTTGATCAAATCACACGAAGGAAGATAAAACCAAGAACTGAAGGATCCGATAGCGGCCATTTTGATTTTCACAGTGTGAAAGAAAAAACTCGTGGGGACTGGGGACCTAAGATGGATGGCTGGATGATCTGGACTTCAGGGCGGAAAAACGTTCTGCGCAAGCTTCTGCGCATCCTTTTATCGCAGGCTCAAGGCGGGCTTTTCTGTGTGTTGACTGTGTTCGACAGTTGACTAAGACTGAATGAAATGCACAAGGTGTGAACGTTTGCTCCTCGAAAAGCCTTTTTACTTTTGTGTGGTTTTTGTTTTTTGTCACTTGAAAATTACTTTGGACTCGGAACAACCAATGTTAAAGGAAAAACGGATCATTCCGTCAGTCTGAGGTGGAATAAAGAGTTTTGAACATTTCCAAAGAGGCGAGTATTTTTTTGATTGTTCATTCGATTTATTTGTGAGTTGATTTCGCCTTCTTTCGCCGGGCTGAATTAAAACCCACTTTTTTTAAAATTAGTAAATACTTTTTCACATGCCCAGATTTATTCCCTCTGTAGAACCAGCTTTATCCTTCTCTTCAGTCAAAGAACCATTTTGTGCGCCGTAAAACTTTCTCGGAAATACCGGTAGAAGGACAGTAAACTTACTCTAGAAGAAAAGAATCATTTTTCTGTTGCTCAAATACTATAAGTAGTCAGAGTTTTCTTCACTTTTAATTACATAGTTTTGTTTTCCACTGCACTGTGAAAGTTTCTGTTCTTTATAAGAAATAACTTTCTGTACGCAAATTTTCCACTTCTCTCGCTGTGAAGTAGGGGACAACTGCCGGCGGTGACTTCAAAACAATTGACTCTGCCCGTAACACTGAATTGCTGGAGCTGGATTTGTCTGAAGCGAGCAAAACAAATACCCTTATGTGCAGTTTTCTGAATTTTGTAACGATTGGAGTTTAATTTGCTTGAATGAAGACCCTCACATGGACCAGTTATTCACTGAGTTATTAAAGCGAGGAGAAGAGCTACATGGTGAATCATAGTTTAGCTGCGAAGCTCACTGTGACTGATCTTTTGCTTTTAAGATCTTTAGGTAGGTTGTTTTCGTACAAAAAATTCATTTCTTCATTGACAGCAAGAAGTTTTTGCAATAACGTAATTTTAACTTTGTTTGAAGGAAATCCTACTTACGTGTAGGTTTTTGACAGATGTTATGCATTTTCAACTTGACAACACAAAGCATAATTTATATTTATCTCTTAGTAGGCGAAACGATCAAGTTTAAAAATAAACTATAGTTGCTTTAAAACCGATTATTGGGAAGATTTTACTAAATAAAGATTGACCTTTTTTCCGCCCGCATATCAACGCAATAACTTCTACCTTGAGGATTTTGTTTATATTTTAGTTATCTGCGAAACTACGAGTGTCCGATCGAGCGAGGGTTTTAAAATATCAGCTCGAGTGCGACAAGTTCAGTGCCTTCAAACACATTGTGGGCAAGCGTTAATTTTTTTGGGCAAGTCACTGTCCAAAGATATGTTGTTTTTGTGTCCACAGTGGAGCTCCGGACCTTATATATCCAGGAACGTCCTTATATGAACACATTTTGTGAATGCATCTTGAAAAAAATCGGACCTACGCATGCACATTTCCAGTACAACGCAAGGAAATTGATGTCGTTAAAGTCCGTTTTACTATGAGATATTCTTCGAGAAAATTAAGTAAAGATAAGGTTATAACCACAGCTTGCAACTTTTGAAGACAAATTGCCTGTTCTTTCCAGGTTATGAGTGGAAACATCTTATTTTTAGGCAATAAAATATTTGAAATCCCGCCATTTTTTCAAACCCGGCCAGGGGATCTGGGCAAAAAAGTTCACGCATGCTCATTACGTTTTTCCGCCCTGAAGATCTGGACGGGGTGCGCAACACGCAATGCTCTAAACCGGTCAAGAACAAGAAAAAACCCGGTTTTTTTTATTTATTCGTGCAGATTTCTGGACGGATTTGAACAGTTGTCGGCAGAGGCTACTTTTCGCACGCCAGCTATTACCGCGAAAATGTAGCCTCTGCTCGCAGGGTATGCACGAGCTGCACGCATTTATAAAATACACGTCATCTGGTTATGAAACACGATCTGCTGTCGTTTAGTTTTGCCATGGATGAGATTTTCCTTCGTGTTTTAGACAATACTTAGTTGTTTTTGTTTTGGAATAACATCGACATTGGCGAGTAGAAGAACGAAAATATAATTCAGTGATAGAGTCATGGAAGTAATAAGAGAAACCCTTTGAAAGAGATGTTTGTCTACTCCAACTAAACCTCCCGCAAGAAATAGCAACATTTGCCTCTCGGAGACAGCGTACCAGCTCAAAGGAACGAGGAAGAAGTACAAGAAAACAAATCAAGCCGCTATAATTCAGTGGCAGCGGCAGTGTCTAATGAATAAACCACATCGCAAACCCTAAAGTTGAAAACAAGCGACATTTCTAAGCGGAGTCCCAGTCCACTGCATCACATCTTTTTGCCCGCACAAGCTCGTTTCACCGCCCAACCTTTATCCGCCCTGGGTTTTTCTTTATAGCGAGCAGTTTCTGAGAATTGGATGGCCTGGATGTCTTTACTTTCAACACATTTACTTTTAGCAGAAGCAGTTATCCTCTCTTTGTTGCACGTGCAAATCATTTTCCAGATATATGAGAGGGTCATGAGTGATTGGGGCGCCAAGACATAAAATATCAGCGGGGCGTAAGAAGCTACCCTAGCTTCTTACGCCCTGAATATCAGCAGTCTACAGCGACAAACCATTGCGTGGTGCCAGATCTCCCAGTTAAATTGTAGACCTGAATCAATACATAATATCGTAAAATTCCGAAAGTAAGCCCCTCCATGTATAAGCCCCTCCAAATTCGTAACGCAAAAAACCCTCCGTTAAATCGCCCCTCCAAATATAAGCCCCTCCCGGACCTTGTACTTGGAAATTGCCCTCAAACTAGTAAAACAAAGCAAGAACGGTAAATTTCCTTTCAACTATCAACCTAGCCCAATCGATTTTGAAACGCAAATTTCCCTTCGTAGATAAGCCGCTCCAAAAATATGCCCCACAAAAAGGGCCTTTGAGAAATAGAAGCCCGGGGCTTATTTTCGGATTTTTACAGTAACTTGCAGAAAATAATAAGACGCCAAGGCGATCAAAAAGTAAACAAAGGAATAAAACAAAAAATATATATTTGTTTAAATTTTTTTTTTCGTTTTTTCCTTTTGATTACTTCTTCACCTTCCAAGGTTATTCTTTGATTCAAACATTCAGTTGATTCAGTGCTCAACACTGTGGTTTATATTATTGTTTCTTACTGATTTTTCGCTGAAACGTTATTTGTATTAGTAGTGTAAAAAGAAGTTTTAAGGGACCTTTATTTTTAAATACGTGACCCGCGCCTTCCAACTCTTGTTTACTTTTATCTAGAATAGTCTCGATACCAATCTCTTAAATAAATAGCCTAGATAAAAAGGCGGTAATGATATTGATCTTGGAAATTTACGAAGGCGTTAAAATGTACGTCAGTTGCTTCCCGAGAAGTTTATTTCTCCACTACTATTTGAAGTAGCGTGCGCATCAGGTGGGTTATTCGGTGTGTTTTTCGTTTGTGGTTGACATACAGCGGCGCGAAAGCTCTGAGGTCAAAGACGTGGGAGAAGGCAAGAGGTTTTTCTAAAGAATTATCCTCGGCCAGGCCCGTAGCGAGACGCATCCACACGCACTTCCCAGATCAATTATACCGTAAATAGCCAGGAATATAATAAAGGTGAAAACATAACTTGCACAAGTTCATTTGGACCGAACCGGGATGCTATTATCACACGTGTTGGACGTTTGGATTTATTTTTGATCCTCGGTTGCATACATGAGCTTTTCCACTTTGAATTCTACTTCTTTAAGGAGCGCCACCACCATCTTCGCCAAATTAAATAAGCGATCCCTCCCCTCCCCTCACTCTAATAAACCGCCCTCAGACGAGTCTCCCTCGCAGCCGTGTTTATCTCGTCACGTAACGCTCCTCCCCAACATTCGAACCACATTCTTTCCAATTATTTTATTAACCCAAAGCTCCTGATTACCAGCGTTGTCCATCAGTCCTGTCGCATGTAGAGGTAGACCAGACAAGGCCAGATAAAAGCATGCGCGTCTCTAAAAAAATCATGGGAACTGCAAAAAACAAAAATAATGCTTTAAGTGGACGTGATAAGTAGTCAAATCGAAACAAATTCCAAGTCTGTTTATTCAAAGCAAAACCTAAGGTACGCGACGAGACAAATATAAAAACGGCTTTCAGGGAGACAACTTGCAGCATACATGATAGGATTGAATGCAGGCTATGATTGGATAACATGTTAAAGGATTAATTGGCCCGAAATAGTTACAGAAAATAGAACCAAAGCTGTGATTGGCTCAAATCAGGAGAGGAATGTGGTTCGAATGTGAGCAGCCATTTGTTGGGGAGGAGCATCGCGTGACAAGACAAAAACGGCTGGGAATGAGCGTTGCGTGACGAAGCAAGAACGGCTGCGAGGGAGACTACCCTCAAATGTACATCAAATTAATAAGCCCCCGGGGGGGGGGGGTTAATAGAAGATTTACGCTAAGATAAGATAACTTTAATTAGACACAGTAAAGCCCTTTAGGCAATTACAAAGTTATTAACAAGAAAGAAAAACTAGCAGCTAATAATATACAATAGAATATGAGTGGATCTACTTAAACTTAACTAACTTTAACAGCAAAAATACTCCCTGCAATACAAGGTCGCCGTGTAAAAAGCCACCTTACTCCGGGCAATTGTGGCAACGGATACTTGATTTGAAACTTGTCAGCGGCGATGCCTGCCACTATAACTGAAAACTCTTTTTGAAGGTTTCAGTACAAGGAAGCAGTTCTGGTAGTTTGTTTACCATAATTATTTCTTAATTACATGGCGTTACGTCCATACCAGTAATAAATTCTGAGCTCAAATACTCAGGAGTTTCATTATTAAGATCCTTAAACATGAGAAAAGAAAAATCGACCTTACATTGCTGCTCAGGTTTATGCCAATTGAGTGACTGAAAGAGTTCCCTCACGCTCATAGACAGCAGCGTAGGAGGGGCAGAGGGGGGCCGTAGCTTCCCAAACGAAAATTTGGGGGTACAGCTGCCCCCCTGCCCCCGTTTTGGTACTGAAAAACACTTTTACCGACGTATTTGACAATACCTGAGTGACATCAGCGACTTCAGAACGCACATTTTCTGCCTAGCTCAGATGACTCAAGAACTACCTAAGGAGCACAATGAAGCAGGACCGCCTGAACAACTGCCAAGTGATACATTGTCACAAATCGATTACGGACACACTAGACTCTGTGAAGATTGCTTCTGCCAACGAACAATGCAAAGGGCGTTTTGGAAAACTTAAGAAGGGGTATGCGTATGGCTGACTGGAAGATGAGCTCCCCCCCACCACGTTTCAAAACACTCCGCCGCCTCTGACACTAGCATCGTAACTTGAAGAAGTAATTCTACGATCAGCGCGGTTCTGTAAATTCTAGAAACTCTGGGAGAGCGTAATAAATAGTGAGGAGGTTTTCAAGAGAAGTAAAGTTTCTGACAAGCTTCATTGCACTAATGCCAGAAGCAATCTTTTTAGAAATCATCTCAATATGCTGATCCCAATTCAGATTCTGGTTATTTTTACAGCAAGGCATTTAGAAATCAAGACTAGCTTAACCGGAATGTCATCAATAGTTGATGACAACGGTTGGATTCTCGGTTTTCGTTTCATGTTTATCATGACCTTATTAACCGCAAGCCAAACATAGACCTTATTCAGATCATAATTAAGGCGGTCATTAATATCATAATGTCACTGCTAGCCGTAGCCTAAGTAATACATGTATCGTCGGCGTACATTCTTGATTGAGAGTAACGCAGACAATTGGACACGTCATTTATGTGCACTAAAAATAATAAGGAACCTAAAATTGTCCCCTGGGGCACTCCACTTGAGACACATGGCTTACCCGACTTACAGCCGTCTACTGCACAGTGTACGACAACATTACTAGGGTATGATCTGAACCTGTCTCCTTCAGGGCCGGTTATATCGTAGCAGTCAAGTTTAGATAATCGTAAGGTATGGTCAACCGTATCAACAGCCTGAGCACTTACCATTTGTATGGAAAACCCGGAAATTCCGGGGAGAATTCAAATGGACCGGTTCATCCCGGTGAAAATTTTTCCGAAAAAAAGTACTACATTTCGAGGTATTACCTTTTTCCCATTTTTACCGAAACGACCGAAATGTTCTGTACCATTTATCAGGATTACTAGTGCCAGGCTTCATCTCGAGAGAGAACGAAAAATTTATCGTATTTTGTAAATGGTACAACTCAATCCCGTTCCTGTTTTCTGTGCCAAAAAAAATACCAGTACCATTTGAACGCAATTTTTCACCGACATTTCCGTACAAATGGTAAGCAGTCCCTTTTTGAGGTCCAGTAAGACAGCAGTGTTAATGTTGCCATGCTCAATATTCAATATACTGGAATGGTCCGATTTCTACTGTGCGCCTTTATTAACAGGGTCGTTTAACACCAACGAAAATTCTCCAAAGCCATTTATAAACCTCAAAAATGTTGTCCAAAAACCAAAACGTAACCAAAAGAAGAAAACCTCAAAAGACCTGAAACGGTTTTTAGCGGAAAGAATCATCTTCACAAACACAGGTCATGTGATTTTCATAATGTTGAAGAAGAAGAGCCTCACTACTCATCTCCTCTTGACAAATCCAACAGCTGTGTTTCTCAATGATAATTGAATGCAAAACTTTTACACCAATGTTTAATAGAGTGTCAGTGTGGATTCTTTCATGCTTCCTAAGATTACTTGCATGGCTAAAACACTTACCACACTGTTTACATTCATAAAGCTTTTCCCCAGTGTGAACTCTTTCGTGAATTTTTAGGTGTCCTGCTTTTCTAAAACACTTACTACACTGTTTACATTCGTAAGGCTTTTTACCAGTGTGAACTTTTTCATGAGTTTTAAGATCTCCTGCGTCAATAAAAGACTTGCTACACTGTTTACATCTGTAAGGCTTTTCAACAGTGTGAACTCTTTCATGACTCCTTAGGTGTCCTGAATTTCTAAAACACTTGCTACACTGCTTACATTCGTAAGGCTTTTCCCCAGTGTGAACTCTTTGATGTCCCTTTAGGTTTCCTGCTTGGCTAAAACACTTGCCACACTGCTTACATTCGTAACGCTTTTCCCCAGTATGAACTCTTTCATGAATCCTTAGGCTTCCTGCTTGGCTAAAACACTTGCCACATCGTTTACATTCATATGGCGTTTCCCCAGTGTGAACTCTTTCATGCTTTCTTAGGCTTCCTTGTTGACTAAAACACTTTCCACACTGTTTACATTCGTAACGCTTTTCCCCAGTGTGAACTCTTTCATGAATCCTTAGGTTTCCTGCTTGGCTAAAACACTTGCCACATTGTTTACATTCGTAAGGCTTTTCCCCAGTGTGAACTCTTTCATGAATTCTTAGGGTTCCTGCTTGGCTAAAACACTTGCCACAATGTTTACATTTGTAAGGCTTTTCCCCAGTGTGAATTCCTTCATGACTCCTTAGGTGTCCTGCTTGGCTAAAACACTTGCCACATTGTTTACATTCGTAAGACTTTTCCCCAGTGTGAATTCCTTCATGATTCTTTAAGTGTACTGCATTTCTAAAACACTTCCCACACTGTTTACATTCGTAAGGCTTTTCCCCAGTGTGAACTCTTTCATGACTCGTTAGGCTTCCTGTTTGATTAAAACACTTGCCACACTGTTTACATTCATAAGGCTTTTCCCCAGTGTGAACTCTTTCATGAATCTTTAGGGTTCCTGCTTGGCTAAAACACTTGCCACACTCTTTACATTCGTAAGGCTTTTCCCCACTGTGAACTCTTTCATGGCTCCTTAGGTCTCCTGCTAGACTAAAGCACTTGCTGCACTGCAGGCACTTAAAGGACATTGAGTTTGTTCTTCTTATAATGTGTGATAGTTACGGCACCCTTTGGCAGGAAAAAGAAACATTCTCAGGTAAATGCACAATGATATTTTGTTTTGGTGCCCCAACTTTGTAGCCAGGGGGTGCAACATCTGAATGTTGTTAGGGAGATGTGGAAAATTAGAAAACTTTAAAAATACCTGCCTGTGAAAAAGAGGTTCTAGACCAGCCTCCTTCCCAGTCGTGCTCCGCAATTTCGGATGTGACGTCATCTTTCAAGCTTGTCGGGAAAATTCGGTTCCAAGCCTCCTCTGGTAACTCTGATAGCGTGAACTGGCCTGGGTACGAGGCTGGTTCTAAACCTTTCATAACCTGACTACATACCTAACATGTACAACTTTACATGACCTATTCAACATGGAAAATCCATCAACAGGGTTAATTTAATCATTTGTTGACTTTGTATTTGGATCGGAGACTTCCCCATGGTTTGTAAAATAACACGCATTTATAAAAGGTAATTAAGGCTCATCATGCACCTTTAATACAGAAAATAGGGGAACCCGTATTACTGTTAATCCCCTATAAAGCTCCCTGGGGGCTTATTCTTTAAGCACGTTTAACAGAGGGTAACTATTATTTGAGAGGGATGGTTATTTAATTTAGTGAAATGCATTACAAAAGGCAAAAAAAAAAAGAAGAAGAAGAAGAAGCAGACTAAAGAAATGGTTTCCTTTCGCCGATCAACAGCATCATGCGGGGTAAGAAAACAGTATTCCGGATGGTAAAATACGTGATGAAAAAATTTGTGTAAAGCAAAAAGGGTGAAAAGCCCAAGAATGGGGCGAAATGTACCTGAGGTATAAAAATAAAAACTTCAGCGAGTGTCACAGGACAAAAAGACTCTTGAAAGGCATAAACGTATTCCCCAGCCTGTGCCAGATCCTGAAAATCCCACCCATTTTAAATCAGTCAATGAGACACCAACTACAACAGAAAAGGGCAACCTCGAGTGCCACATAATTTTCAACGATGTTGAAACATAAAGAAAATGTTTAGTGCAGGCATGTTATTAACAAAAGAAGAGATGCAGCAGTTTTAGGAGAATTTTGCCATGGAGCCACACTTGATCAAGACATACATGTATATTGCTCATCTAGAAGATCTCAAACAACAAAGCAGTATTTTTAAGAGAACAAGGGGGCGCACAGAACAAAAGCGTAAATTGACGTCCAAAACATTTAAAGAATATGCCTGGCACCATCTCGTGGAGTCTGGAGATTTACAAAAGTTGCTTGTGTCTGAGCTCAATAAGTATCTTAAACATTACAAACTCATAAGCAATGGCACCAAAGCTGAAAAGATAAGGTGAATCTCGTTGCATGTGCTTCGTGGGGAGGATAGACAATGGGAAGATATAAATGAGTCTACTGACAAGGAAGCAAAGGAAGGTGGAACGGAAAACGACGGCGAAGAAATTGATGGCTCAGGGGATGATGAAGGTGAGGAGGATAATGTCCTTGCAGAATGGTCAAGTGGGCCTGACTCAGACCATGACACGACTTCGGGTGAACGGGAATGTTATAGCATCGATGAAAGTGATAAGATATGGTTTGTCTTTCAAAGCGATTCAGAGCAAGAAGAATTTTATGGTTTTGATTGTGTTTGCAAACAGTTGATGTTCTTAAAATTTAATGCAGGTCGCCATAACAGAATCTAATAAATCAATGTAGTATAATATAATTATAAATTCGTTTAATTTTTGCATTAGTTACCAGTCTTTCCATGTCTTTCTGATTCAACAGAGACCTGGAACAAAGTATTGAATGACCTCTCGAATCATCTCACGAATGTGTTCTCAACTAATTTTAAACACAGGTTTGTAGAAATGTATTCCTTTAAAAAAATGTTGAACACTTTCAGGGAAATTTTTACTTCACAAGAAGTTCTATTTCGTGAGGTTCGAAAACTCCAAAGGGTGATCCAAGTCATTGTATTTGATCCAAACATCTGAACATACACTACATACACATGATTTTCACAAGTTACTCACTTCAAATCGGTGTCAAATTGAACAGGCTTTGGAAAATTTGACCCCAAATACTGAATGGGCTACGAAAAAGACATTGTGCTTTTTGGTCGGGCTTTAGAAAGAAAGAGGAAGGCTTTCATTTTTTTCCTGACCCGGTCATCCTTATAAATAATGAAACATCCCTAAATTGAAAATGCTTTGGCCTTTATGTAACCAGGGAGTTAATCTGAAGACAGACTCCAAAACTCCGTATTACAGTTTACTGAAATAAAAATATACTCCTTCTATTTTAAAGTACAACAGAGACTAAAAGAAATTTAATATGCATCGTTAACAACAACCACAGAAATTACACAAACAGGATATTCTACAAAAACATCTTCATATCACTTGACCAATCTTTGTGTCCTATGGGATGCATACCATGAATTATTTTGTATCTTTGGGGATTTTTATGCTTAAGGGAAGCAGGACTCAATGGTGAAAAAATTGCTGGATCACTTAACATGAAGTGTCACTGTTTTGTTTGTTAATACAACCTATCACTTATTCATTTGGTCCAAATAATAATAAACGATTATTCCTCGAGCCTGAATGGGCTCTGAGTCATTAGCCCATGAGGTCGAAGGCCATATGGGCTATTGCCTCAAAGGCCATGAGAGCGAGAGGAATAATACTTTTAGTAAAATCCAACTAGTTGGTCAAATGCTTTCACAATTGTGTACGTGAATAAGAAAGCCCTTAATATTAAGAAATCACAGCAGATAACTAATTATGTGGACATTGAATTGAACAACAAAGTAAACAAGACTCTTATTGAATTCAACTATTTCCTTCCAAATTGCTTAGATACAAGTAGACTGCTATCCGTGAAGAGCAAGGAGAGACGGCTGTATTCAAAGGCAAAGATAATACATGACAACGCTCGACGTCCGTGTTAGGAAAGCAAAGGTCATTTAGATGGAATAGTAAATCATGAAAAGATAAGTTTAAAGCTTATTGAAGCCTTCAGATACAAAACAACGTAATAAGCTTGGAAATTAAAAACAGCAGATAGATATTTGTATTTGGGAAACCAAGTTCAGGTCCGTTGTTATTAGGATCTGATGGCCCCATATCGAGACCGAAAGTAGTAGGACTCGGAATCGGGACTTTCACAACTGAATATATCCATATAATGCATTTAAAACGTTCTTACCTTTAGTAGCAAGACCTTGTCGCTTTGATCAAATCACACGAAGGAAGATAAAACCAAGAACTGAAGGATACGATAGCGGCCATTTTGATTTTCACAGTATGAAAGAAAAAACCCGTGGGGACTGGGGACCTATTAAAGCTGGATGATCTGGACGGGGTGCGCAAAGGGTGCGCACGGGTTTTTCCTGGGGCCCGTTTCTCGAAAGTCCCGATAATTAACGGGCCCGGTAAGCTGTCTCCGTTTACTTTAAAGATTGAGGTTTCAACAGTTTTGCATCTAACATGATAAAACTATCAGTTAACGAAACAAAAGGGAGTAGCTTGCTAGCCAGGACCGGCGCTCTTATTTTTTATATTTCGATTTGAATATTTGATTTCGGGCCCGAAAAGTTACCGGGACTTTCGAGAAACGGATCACAGGGCGGATAAAGGTTGGGCGAAGGATATGCGATGAAACGAGCGCTCCGCTCTTCATTTAATGTGTGATGCGGAGTAGGGCTGGCACGAGTGCTCCTTCCGCGCTTCCGGTGCGCTTGAAGGCCGGTGAAATTTTCGTTTTTGCAAACCAGAAATCCTAGTTTCTTTCTGTAATTGCAGGCTACAGCGTTAAATAGATAAATTCGTTTCATAACAATATCAATAAACAGTTTCATATGTTTGTGTCTGTACGTCTATAAGTCAAACTTGTTTGTCGTATAATGCCAAATTTGAGTTTAATTTGAAAGTGTTGAATACCTCCTCCTTCCACTAAGTATCACCTAATCGTCTTTCGCCGTTTCGTTTGCAAAAGCTTAACACTTCTTAACCTCAATTTTTACATATGTTAAGGGGGATAAATTTTATATAACATAACAAAAAATTAGATTGATATATTTTGATATAGTGGCGTTGTACCACAGGTAACGCAGGCTCTGTGATAGTACCACAGTACGGTTCCAGTAAAATTACAGTGTTTGTATGGGGTAAAAATATCATCCTAAAATTTCTAGGAAATACTAAATAAAGATCAATGAAACTTACTCTGCAGTTAATTGTTGTTGTCCTTACTGCTCCAACGAAGTTTCGTGATAATTTGCAGTAATTTGTTCAAATTCACTCTATCTACAATAATAATATACAAGGTAGGAAATACGAGGTGCCATTTTCGCCAACATGCTCTCATTCAACACAACTTTTTCCACGAAATTCGAACTCCAACGGAAAATAAACATGCCAGGATCGTAGAAATAGGATAGCAGCAGATATAGAAACCAATGAAGCTTTCCCAGATAGAGAAACGAATCCCACAGACTTGGACAAACTCGAAGAATATAATCCAAACACACCGAGAATACGCTCGCCGAAGCAGCCGGGCCAGATCAATGCGCGGCCAAGAAAATGAGGCCTGGGCACTGTACAAAAAAATTCCATCCCGGGAGTCCTGGGGTGACCTTTCTAGGGACCGATGCATCATTTGCCCAAGGCCACTCTCCCCTGCTGGAAAAATACTTGATAGAAGGCAATTGTTCTTCCTAGCCAATCACCATTTGCCAGAGCAAACCCCGCACACGCGCCTGAATTTAAATGGGTAAAAAAATAGTAATATAATCAGGAGAGTCTGCGGAGTTACAAGGCGTTCCATTTCTTTTACTAAGGAATGCAAATAACAGTAATGAAACTAATGAAATAACAACGCGAAATGCTTACAAGGCGGACTAAAAACAAGGTTGAACAAAAGGTAGATGATGACTGAGATACTGTTGCTGTGAACTCTCGAGCGAAACTATCGTAAATAAACGGTGAAGCTTACAAACTAATGTCAAAAATTATACAGAAAATTGCGACAGAATATGAATTGCGATAACTGAGACGAATGTGAAAGGCACGTGCACTAGTAAACAAAGAACTAGCGCGATTAACATATTTAGCGATTAATGCGGCAGTAACACGCCGACTTCTTGTCAATACAGGTGAACGCTCTATCGGTTAAATATGTGAATCAGCGTGATACACCTCTCTTTGAATTTGGTCCTGTTGTACAAATGCCTCGGTAAGAGCCAAAATTCACTTATATCTTTTGCTCGTTTTAAGTTTTGTAAATCGTCCTTCGTTGTTCTTTCCTTTGCCCTTATAACCTTGCCCTACTGATGTTTGATAAACTTTCTGAGGACCAGCGCCAGGAGCTGAATATAGTTCGAGAGGAAAATAATCTCTTTATAACAGGCCATAGTGATTGGCTAGGAAGAACAATTGCCTTCTATCAAGTATTTTTCCAGCAGGGGAGAGTGGCCTTGGGCAAATGATGTATCGGTCCCTAGAAAGGTCACCCCAGGACTCCCGAGATGGAATTTTTTTGTACAGTGCCCAGGCTTCATTTTCTTGGCCGCGCGTTGATCTGGCCCGGCTGCTTCGGCGAGCGTATTCTCGGTGTGTTTGGATTATATTCTTCGAGTTTGTCCAAGTCTGTGGGATTCGTTTCTCTATCTGGGAAAGCGTCATTGGTTTCTATATCTGCTGCTATCCTATTTCTACGATCCTGGCATGTTTATTTTCCGTTGGAGTTCGAATTTCGTGGAAAAAGTTGTGTTGAATGAGAGCATGTCGGCGAAAATGGCACCTCGTGTTTCCTACCTTGTATATTATTATTGTAGATAGAGTGAATTTGAACAAATTACTGCAAATTATCACGAAACTTCGTTGGAGCAGTAAGGACAACAACAATTAACTGCAGAGTAAGTTTCATTGATCTTTATTTAGTATTTCCTAGAAATTTTAGGATGATATTTTTACCCCATACAAACACTGTAATTTTACTGGAACCGTACTGTGGTACTATCACAGAGCCTGGGTTACCTGTCGTGCAACGCGCGATGGCGATCTGCGCAATGCGTCGCAAATCTGGCAACCGCATGTAAACAAAATTTATTGAGGTTAGTTGTAAGGTTTTTTCTCCGTTTTTCTCTCTAAAACAAAACAAGGTAAACAGTAAAAACTGAGGGGAAACTAATTTTGAAGTTTCGAAGAAAAAGAAAGACGTATGAGATGTTTTTTCAAAATTAAAAAGAAGGATGATGGTGATTGAAATTAGCATAATTTCACCTGGCACGAGTACCCTGCGAGCAGAGGCTACATTTTCGCGGTATGAGCTGGCGTGCGAAAAGTAGCCTCTGCCGATAACCGTTCAATTTTCTATCGTGCATGCAGAAAATTCGTCACGCTATTCGCAAGCAACTGGTTCGTCAAATCTGCGTGAGTTTCGCGGGAATCAAACTTGCGAAAACTACCTGCGAACTACTCTCGTCGAGCTTTTGTTTTGTTTTTCTGCTTTGCTCCCTCTGGTTTTAAGTATTTTAGCCGCAAAATTTTCACGGATCGTCTTGTTTAGGAAAGTATTTTTATCATGCTATCAACTGTCGTAAGTTCTGTCTGTTTTACGGGGAGCATATTTTTCCGGCTTTAATATTACCTATAGTTATAGTTGTGCTCAAAGTGAAAAATGAAATTCGCGGACAACGCTACGCAGAAGTGATGCTTGAAATAAATTGGATGCTGTAGTCTCACGATCGTGTTTTAAACTAATGTTATGAATGAACATAGACAAAACAGTAGTCAGAAAAATTATTCATCGAAAAATTTTATTCGAAAACCCATAATTTTATCCTTAAAAGCAATCCGCGTAAAACTAACTGGATCGTGGATCATTTCACGCAAGTAAAAGCTGCCGAAGAAATCAAATGTCAACGCCAAAATCCGTCTCAAGTCGTATAAAACATCTAAGAAACAACTATAAAAACTTAAATTTCCATTTAAAAACGGAACTTTAATGTGCAAGTTGTACCTAACAATTCTTTGAAAACTTTGCCGCTTTGGTTTCTTTTCAGAACAGGACAAGCGTTCCACCGTGAAGAGAGCCAACCAGGTTAAAGTCCTTGAGGACGAATCAGTGCTGCTAAAAGCTTTTCTTCAGCTTTTTCCACAAAAGAAAACTGATTGGTGATTCTTTTGAACATTCCGGTTCCCATCTGTGTCTTAAAACAGTGCATTTAGCCTTGCATTGAGAGGCGACACAACAAAAATCACCGCAGTATCCATTTTCTTTTCCTGGCAAACAAGGACTATCATACGATAAATTAACGATCTTTACACGGTCCCGCAAGCCAGGCAAGAGACACCGGCAGCAGCTTGTTTTGGTATTTCAACAGCTTTAAAATACAGAGCTTATTCAAGTTGTTGACGACGCTCTTTTAAATTCATAAACAGGGATTTTTGAAATTGTTTTGAACTTTTCCTGTTGCTACGTTTGAGCTGCGTTGATCCGCGTTCATATGCGAGAATTTGGCTCGAAGCAATGCATGAAGGCGCAATAATGGTCAGCGTTCATTCGCTGACGCAAGACTCGCACAATGCTCTAAACCGGTCAAGAACAAGAAAAAACCCGTTTTTTTAATTTATTCGTCCAGATTTCTGGACGGATTTGAACAGTTGTCGGCAGAGGCTACTTTTCGCACGCCAGCTATTACCGCGAAAATGTAGCCTCTGCTCGCAGGGTATGCACGAGCTGCACGCATTTATAAAATACACGTCATCTGGTTATGAAGCACGATCTGCTGTCTTTTAGTTTTGCCATGGATGAGATTTTCCTTCGTGTTTTAGACAATACTTAGTTGTTTTTGTTTTGGAATAACATCGACATTGGCGAGTAGAAGAACGAAAATATAATTCAGTGATAGAGTCATGGAAGTAATAGTCATGAAAGTCATGAAAGAGATGTTTGTCTACTCCAACTAAACCTCCCGCAAGAAATAGCAACATTTGCCTCTCGGAGACAGCGTACCAGCACAAAGGAACGAGGAAGAAGTACAGTGTCAGTGTCTAATGGATAAACCACATCGCAAGCCCTAAAGTCGAAAACAAGCGACATTTCTAAGCGGAGTCCCAGTCCACTGCATCACATCGTTTTGCCCGGACAAGCTCGTTTCACCGCCCAACCTTTATCCGCCCTGGGTTTTTCTTTATAGTGAGCAGTTTCTGAGAATTGGATGGCCTGGATGTCTTTACTTTCAACACATTTACTTTTAGCAGAAGCAGTTATCCTCTCTTTCTTGCACGTGCAAATCATTTTCCAGATATATGAGAGGGTCATGAGTGATTGGGGCACCAAGACATAAAATATCAGCGGGACGTAAGAAGCTACCCTAGCTTCTTACGCCCTGAATATCAGCAGTCTACAGCGACAAACCATTGCGTGGTGCCAGATCTCCCAGTTAAATTGTAGACCTGGATCAATACATAACATCGTAAAATTCCGAAAGTAAGCCCCTCCATGTATAAGCCCCTCCAAATTCGTAACGCAAAAAACCCTCCGTTAAATCGCCCCTCCAAATATAAGCCCCTTCCGGGGCTTGTACTTGGAAATTGCCCTCAAACTAGTAAAACAAAGCAAGAACGGTAAATTTCCTTCCAACTATCAACCTAGCCCAATCGATTTTGAAACGCAAATTTCCCTTCGTAGATAAGCCGCTCCAAAAATATGCCCCACAAAAAGGGCCTTTGAGAAATATAAGCCCGGGGCTTATTTTCGGATTTTTACGGTAACTTGCAGAAAATAATAAGACGCCAAGGCGATCAAAAAGTAAACAAAGGAATAAAACAAAAAATATATATTTGTTTAAATATTTTTTTTCGTTTTTTCCTTTTGATTACTTCTTCACCTTCCAAGGTTATTCTTTGATTCAAACATTCAGTTGAATCAGTGCTGAACACAGTGGTTTATATTATTGTTTCTTACTGATTTTTCGCTGAAACGTTATTTGTATTAGTAGTGTAAAAAGAAGTTTTAAGGGACCTTTATTTTTAAATACGTGACCCGCGCCTTCCAACTCTTTTTTACTTTTATCTCGAATAGTTCTCGGTACCAATCTATAAAAATAAATCGCCTAATTAAAAAGGCGGTAATGGTAAGTTGATCTTGGAAATTTACGAAGGCGTTAAAATGTAAAACCTGTACTTTCTATCAGCAGTTTTCATTATAAAACGCAGCAAAAACGTAAGTTGCTTCCCGAGAAGTTCATTTCTCCACTACTATTTGTAGTAGCGTTCGCATCAGGTAGTTATTTGGTGTGTTTTTCGTTTGTGGTTGACATACAGCGGCGCAAAAGCTCTGAGGTCAAAGACGTGGGAGAAGGCAAGAGGTTTTCCTAAAGAATTATCCTCGGCCAGGCCTGTAGCCAGATGCATCCACACGCACTTCCCAGACCAATTATACTGTAAATAGCCAGGAATGTAATAAAGGTGAAAAAATAAATTGTACAAGTTCATTTGGACTGAACCGGGATGCTATTATCACGTGTTGGACGTTTGGATTTATTTTTGATCCTCGGCTGCATACATGAGCTTTTCCACTTTGAATTCTACTTCTTTAAGGGGCGCTACCACCATCTTCGCTAAATTAAATAAACGCCCCCTCCCCTCCCCTCCCCGCACTCTAATAAACCCCCCTCAAACGAGTCTCCCTCTCAGCCGTTTTTGTCTCGTCACATAACGCTCCTCCCCAATATTCGAGCCACATCCTTTTCAATTGTTTTATTAACCCAAAGAAATGACCAATTATTTTTCAGTAAAATTGAAAATAACGTCCCCTGCTTTCGCATCTTCTCTCGCGTGCCTGACGCGCGTTTAGTTTTCACGATATCTCCAAATGAGCTTGCTGAAAATAACGTCAGTTTTTACGCAAAGAATGAGCCCATGTAACTTCCAGTTGCATCGGAGGTGTCAGTCGCGATTGCCGGGCAAGAAACAGCTTACTGCTCAGTGGCGGATTCAGAGCTTCATATAAGGGGGGTCATCCAGACTCTAAGATAAGAGGGGCCGGTCTAAACAAAAATTTTTTTCGGCCCTTCGGGCTTCATTTTGGTCTAAAAATAAGGGGGAGCCCCTCCCCTTGATCTGCCACTGTTGTTATCACATTATCAGCATTGTACATCAGTCCTGTCGCATGAAGACGTAGACTAGACAAGGCCAGATAAATGCATACGCGTTTCTAAAGAAAATCATTGGAACTGCAACAAACAAAATTACTGCTTTAAGTGGACGTGATAAGTAATCAAGTCGAAACAAATTTCAAGTCTGTTTGTTCAAAAAGTAATGTACGCGACGAGACAAATTGCAAACTGAGGAGAGTTTCAAGAGGAACAAAGTTTCTGACGAGCTTAATTGCGCTAATGTCAGAAGAAATCTTTTAAGAAAACATCTGAATATGCTGACCACAATTCAGATTCTGGTTATTTTTACAACAGGCAATTTAGAAACCAAGACCTGCTTAACCGGAATGTCATCGATGGTTGATGACAATGGTTGGTTTCTTGGTTTTCATCTTGAGCCAACAAGGAGAAACTCAGTGTTTTGTTTGTTTGTTTGTTTCTTCATGTTTAGCATGAACTTGTTAACCGCAAGCCAAACATAGACCTTACTCAGATCATAATAAAGGCAATCATTAATATCGTAACATCACTGCTAGCCATAGCGTAGGTAATACGTGTATCATCAGTGTACATTCTCCATTCAGAGTAACGCAGACAATTGGGCACGTCATTTATGTGCACTAAAAAAAAGGAACCTAAACTGGTCCCCTGAGGCACACCACTTGAGACACATGGCTTACCTGACTTACAGCCATCTACTGCACAGTGTCCGACTACTAGGCTATCATCCGAACCTGTCTCCTTCAGGGCCTGTTATACCGTAGCAGTCAAGTTTGGACAATTGTAAGGTATGGTCAACCAAATAAAGAGCCTTTTTGAGGTCCAGTAAGACAACGGTGTTAATGTTGTCATGCTCAATATTCAATACACTGGAATGGTACAATTTCTACTGTGCGACTTTTAAAACAGGGTCGTTTTAACACCAACGAAAAATTCTTCAAACCCATTTATAAACCTCAAAAATGTTGTCCAAAAACCTAAACGAAACCAAACGAAGAAACCTTCAAAAGATCCGAAAGCGTTTTTAACTAAAAGAATTATCTTCACAAACACAGGTCATGTGATTTTCATAATGTTGAAGAAGAAGAGCCTTACTACTCATATCCTCTTGACAAATCCAACAGCTTTGTTTCTCAGTGATGACTGAATGCGCAACTGCTACACCAATGTTTAATAGAGTGCCTGTGTGGATTCTTTCATGCCTCCTAAGGTTACCTGCCTGGCTAAAACACTTGCCACACTGTTTACATTCATAAGGCTTTTTACCAGTGTGAACTCTTTCATGAGTTTTAAGGTCTTTAGCGTTAATGAAAGACTTGTTACACTGCTTACATTTGTAAGGCTTTTCCCCAGTGTGAACTCTTTCATGACTCCTTAGGGTTCCTGCTTGGTTAAAACACTTGCCACACTGTTTACATTCAAATGGCTTTTCCCCAGTGTGAACTCTTTCATGAATCCTTAGGTGACCTGCTTGGCTAAAACACTTGCCACACTGTTTACATTCAAATGGCTTTTCCCCAGTGTGAACTCTTTCATGAATCCGTATGTCTCCTGCTCCGCTCAAACACTTGCCACACTGTTTACATTCGAAAGGCTTTTCCCCAGAGTGAACTCTTTCATGAACCCTTAGGTTTCCTGCTTGGCTAAAACACTTGCCACACTGTTTACATTCGTAAGGCTTTTCCCCAATGTGAACTCTTTCATGAATCCTTAGGTTTCCTGCTTGGCTAAAACACTTGCCACACTGTTTACATTCATAAGGCTTTTCTCCAGTGTGAACTTTTTCATGTCTCCTTAGGTCTCCCGCTTGGTTAAAACACTTGCCACACTGTTTACATTCATAAGGCTTTTCCCCAATGTGAACTCTTTCATGAATCCTTAGGTTTCCTGCTTGGCTAAAACACTTGCCACACTGTTTACATTCATAAGGCTTTTCCCCAGTGTGAACTCTTTCATGAATCCGTAGCTCTCCTGCCTGCCTAAAACACTTGCTACACTGTTTACATTTATAAGGCTTTTCTCTAGTGTGAACTTTTTCATGTCTTCTTAGGTCTCCTGCTTGCCGAAAACACTTGCCACACTGTTTACATTCATAAGGCTTTTCTCCAGTGTGAACTTTTTCATGTCTCCTTAGGTCTCCTGCTTGGCTAAAACACTTGTCACACTGTTTACATTCGTAAGGCTTTTGCCCAGTGTGAACTCTTTGATGTCTCCTTAGGGGTCCTGCTTGGCTAAAACGCTTGCCACACTGTTTACATTCATAAGCCTTTTCTCCAGTGTGAACTTTTTCATGTCTCCTTAGGTCTCCTGCTTGGCTAAAACACTTGTCACACTGTTTACATTCGTAAGGCTTTTCAGTGTGAACTCTTTCATGTCTCCTTAGGGGTCCTGCTTGGCTAAAACGCTTGCCACACTGTTTACATTCATAAGGCTTTTCCCCAATGTGAACTCTTTCGTGAATTATTAGGTTTCCTGCACAGCTATAACACTTGCCACACTTTTTACATTCATAAGGCTTTTCCCTAGAGTGAACTCTTTTACCTCTCATTAGGATTCTTGCTTGGTCAAAATTCTTGCCACACTGTTTACATTCCTAAGGCTTTTCCCCAGTGTGAACTCTTTCATGACTCCTTAGGCTTCCTGCTTGACTAAAACACTTGCCACACTGTTTACATTTATAAGGCTTTTCTCCAGCATGAACCCTTTGATATCTCTTTATGTGTCCTGCTACACTAAAACACTTGTCACACTGTTTTCATGAATCCTTAGGTGTCCTTGGCTTAAACAATTGCCACACTGCTGGCACTCAAGGGACACTGAGCATGTTCTTCTTTTCAGGTGTCTAGGGTACCTTTCGAAAGCAGGGAAAACGTTATTAGTTAAATGAACAATTCTTATTTTGTTCTATGGCTACGAAAACTTGCAAAACAAATTTTGTGCAAGCTGGTGTAACTAAGGTGTGTAACAAATGCAGTTTAAAGGAAGTAAAGGACACGTGGAAAAGTAGAAAATTCAAAAGACACCCACCCTTGAAAAAGTGATTCTAGACCATGCACCAGCTGACTACATACCTAAAATAATAAACGACCCCTTCAAAACGAAGAATCCATCAACAGACGTCAGTTTATATTTTGCTGACCTTTTGTATTAGGATCTGAGATTCCCATGTACTTTGACAAATTTTCCCAATTTTGATAAGCAAATTACAGAAAAATTATTGTAATATATCATTATAGTTTCTTTGAGTACTCCAAACATTTCCACCATTCATCTGAATGATTTTTGACAGCTGTTATGATGTTCACTTCTCTGTATAAAGCGAACACTAAAGCATTCCCTGAGGTACCACTCTGCTCAAAAGTATGTTTTATCAATACAGTGCCTTCTACATGTCCAACTTTAAAACAAACAAATCTTTTTTTAAATTAAGATATGATTGTTGTAGGGGTAATTGCAATTTAAGCAATTGCAAATAAACCTGAAAAAATTTTTGGGAGTTCGACAGGATTTGCACCCATGACATGTGTGTTAACGCTGCAGTGCTCTACCATTTACGCTATGGAGAGTGATAAATTGGGAGCAGGCCAAATTGTTGAGTTCATCTTAACCAGTGAAAGGAATGATACATGAAGAGTAACACTAAGAGATATGATCATGTCACTCCAGCGCTTAAGAACCGAAGGTTGCTACCAGTAAAAGCCAATTTATACTTCAGAGAAGCCGTTATGGCATTAAGTGTATGATGGGCATGGCCCCAGAATATTTAGGTAATAAATTTATTTTTAGAGGCAACGTAAGTAGGCGGAAGACTAGAAGTTCGCAGAGCTTGAATATTGCATTACTTAAAACTAAAACAGGGCAGAGGTTCTTTTTCTTATAGAATCATATTCGTTAATATATGAAATAATTCACCATCTGAAATTAAGCTTAGAAAATGGTTTAAATAATTTTAAGCACAATTAAAGAAAACATCTTATGAAAGAATTTTTACGATTAGTCACAACGAGTTACAATAGGTTATCCTGTTGCCACTATTAGCTCGTTTTAATTACCCAAATTAATTATCATCTTTAATTTTTATTAATATAGTGTGTTGTTTTTAACTTTTATCTGTTAATTATTGTCACTGAAAACCCACATGGGGAGATGTCAATAAAGTATTGTTTTGTATTGTAATTGTTACTTAAGTAATTGCAAATAAATCTGAAAAAAGTTCAAGACTTCAACGGAATTCTTACCCATGGCCTCTCCATTAGGGCTACAGTGCTCTACCATTTGTGCTATGAAGACCCATACATTGGGGGAGGTCAATTTGTTGAGTTCATCACCTTAACCCATGAAAGGAATGAAACACATCTGTGTGGATTTTATACAAGGTGCCTGTACTAAGTCTCTAGTCAGCCAAGTCCAAGGAGCAACTACTCACCCTCCCCACCCATGAAGCTTATGACTAGTCAATCACTTCCCCCAAGCTCTGCTAGTAGTGTTATGATTATGAGTCACAGCATTGATTTGGCTAGCCAAGCCCAGTGGAAAAATTCCCTGACTTGGCACTGCTTTCTGACATCAAACTCTAATCAAAATCTGCCCTCCCTACCCCCTGGTTTTCACACAAAACAACTCAGCTACCCACCCACGGATAGGTCTGGGCCTGGGCTCTCCACTGACACCTAGCAAGACAGCAAGCCCCCTTGTTTTTTTCCGGCTATAATGGCTTGAACACAGGAGATGCCCGTGTTCAAGCAAAAACTTAGCGGGCACCTTTTAGCAAAATCACACAGATATAGATGATCTGAAATGCAGAAATACAAATTTTTAAATGAAGACATGATCGTCGCACCAGTAAAATTTATATTTTTGCAGTTCAGATCATCTTTATGTTTCATATTTCCTTCCATGGGCTAAGATGAACTAAACTTTGTTCAGATTTATTTGCAATTGCTTAAATTACAATTACCCCTGTGATGATCATATCTTCATTTAAAAATTGTGTTTCTGCAGTCCAGATCATCTTGAAGAAAGTCTATGTTTTAATGCTGACTGACTCATTCAGATTAACTATTTCAGTGAGAGTAGAGGACAGCTAGGACAGGGAGCCACGACTGCCAGGTCACTTAAATTGCTGAGACCAGTTGAAACCTAAGGACAAGCCATATGGACCTGTTGTGCTCATGATCCATCTCACATCACTGTTAATGTCACCAAATAAGATTGTTTCTTAGGTACAAATTAGATGTTTTTACTACAATAAGATTTCTCTAAAATTACATGTTGACTAATTTTTACTACTGTTAGATTGTTCTACAACTAGATATTTGACTACAATTTTGATTTCGTTTACTACTACATTGTCAATTATGTTATGTTTCAATTATGTTTATTTCCCTTGGGGGGCATTTCCGTTTTGGGCATTAATCATTTCCTTTTTATCACATTTTTAAAATCATGAATGTATATTCTAGTTAATATGATCTTGCCTAATGAAGTATGGAATAAAGTGTGATCGAAAAGTGATTGAACACAAACAAACAATAACAAATGGTGACCTCAACAATCACTGTTAAAGAATAGCCTTAATAGATAACATTAACTGATTGCCAAGACATTTCTGGACATTTCTTTGTTTGCCAGTTGAAAATCATCTTTTACTTTTTGCAAGAATTAAAGGCTTATAAATTGTCCCCTAATGTAAAAAAGACTAAATTATTGATATTCGAAGCAAAAGACAAAAAAATTAAGCAACAAGTTGACATTAGTTTAGACGGTTCAGGTATCAAACAGGTAGAATCAGCCAGGTTCTTAAGAGTTCATATAGACGAAAATATTAACTGGAAAAATCATATAAGTCCCGTTTGCAGCAAAATTTCAAAACTTTCTGGTATACTTTCTCGAGCAAGACATTATTTACCTCATGCTGTTATGCGGGGTTTATATTATGCACTTATCAACCCATGCCTAAGTTATGGTAACATTTTATGGGCAAATACCTACACAATAAGACTAGAACCAACAAGAAGGCTACAAAAGAAAATTATAGCATCATTACTTTTCTAAAATTCAAAGAATATACTGGTCCGCTCTTCAAAGAACTATTGATTCCACTTTTTGATGATATCAACAATGAAGCCGTTGTTTTGTTCATGTTTCGATACTTCAATAACAATCTACCATCATCTTTCAATGATTTCTTTCGTCTGAACAAAGATGTTCATTACCATAACAAAAGATCATCCATAAACGTTCACAAAACAGCTGACAAAATCCAAGCACGAACTAACTACCAAAAACACTCAATAAAATACAAAAGAGTTTGAATGCGGAATAACTTGCCAAAATCTATAAAAGAAATTAAGGCATTCAATTTATTGAGGAAAAAAATTAAAACGCATTTTCTCCACAAGCAAGAAAATTAGAATTTCACTCTATTATATTCAAATTCAAGAATTTGATTGGCTAAAATCGATCTTGACCGCGGTCTAGATTTTCCCATCTAGACCAACATCTAGACTGATCTTGTTGTAACAGTTGTCCTCAAAAAGTTACAAACAAAGTATAATTATGAAAAAATTGGCTCTTTCCTGTTAATAATACTAAATGGAAGAATCAGTGGACCTTCACGAGGAAGCAGGTAAAGAAAACGAGCCAACGTTGGCAAATTTGAGTCCTGTCGAGGAAGCTACGAGCAAAGATGAAGTCGAAATTGAGAAATTTTTGCAGGAGCAGAAATAAAAAAACACTCAATACAAGACTAAGAGCAATTTAAACGCATGGAAAAAATTTTGTGAGTCACTGAAAGAGTCTAGAGCAATTGAAAACATACCTGCCAATGAGCTCGACCTTCTTTTGTCCAAATTTTTCATCTCCGTTCGTAAACAAAATGGCACTGAGTACGAGCTGGGTACAAAGACGCGTTTGCTGCAGCCAAACTCAATGACACAAACAAGAAGAAGGTTTCTAATTACTTCGTTGGAAAGACCAGTGTTGGACGACTTCTCGAAGCAGACATTCAGCCAAACTTCGTTGCACAGCTAAGCGGTTGCAAAAATTTGAAAAGCCTTGACAGCTACCATTCAGCATCTCTCAAGGGACAGCAAGAAATGTCTGCTATCCTGAGTTGTGAGCCAGGTACATCCACTCAGTGCGAAAAAAAACTAAGTCAGTACCTCCACTACAACACAGCAAAATGTTTTGACGCTCCATCAAATCCAGCCTCAGGCAATTTTTGCCCGAGCGCATATTGACAAGTTTGAAGGCCGCACATTTAACATCAACGTTTTCTGTAGTGATCAGTCGAAGATCGCAAGGCTGAATGAGAACTCATCGCTGAGCGATCGAGGCACAAACAGGCATTACTTACATCGCAGTTGCACTTTTGGTCACTTTTCATAAATTGTTGTTTCAACCACAAGCTTTTTCTTTGAGCCTGTATGAAAAATTTTGTATTCATTCATTGACGAAGTTTGTACAAAGATGGACTTTGAACGGTTATTTTCGTCCCGTTTGGACTGGAGACCAGTGACAGAAGAAAGCCAGCTAAATGCTTGAACCGGCGCAGGGAAGCAAATAAAATTATTTATGTTTTTGTTCCTTTGCTTTCTTGTTTGGCCATATAATAAACATCTTATTAACCGAGCTAGGTCGGTCTGTATGGGAGAATCTTGACCTCGGTCGCTGGTACACACCTCACTACGCTCGGTCTGTACTTGCGACCTCGGTCAAGATTCTCCCATACAGACCTCACGCTCGGTTAATAAGAGCTAAATACAAACGTATTTACATAAATGATATTCTAAGTAAGTTCGCCAATTACTATAATTCTCGTAACACAGCTATATCCTTTTCATTGCAGTAAACTTCAAGTCCAGGGACTCTCCTCACTTAAAATTTCGGTAACCTTAGTTTTATAGTGGCCTGTATTGCTTTGTAATATCGCATGTGAATAAATTGGCCATGGAATGTGAAGACTCAGCTGAAGACTTGTAACAGAACGTCTGAGCTGTGTCTACTGTTCATCAGTGGCTTGCCTTAGCCACTATCATTTGACTTTCACAACTGAAGGTATCCATAATTTATTAAAATCCTGTCTTACCTTTAGCAACAAGACCTCGCCACTTTTCACACTCTGCTCAAATCACACGAGGGAAGACAAAGTTAAACCAAGATCGAAAGACAGAGCGCAAGGGACAGAGCTCAACAACGTTTGCGCATGTGCAAAGACGGGAGAGGTCTGGGATCTAAACTAGTATGCAAAAGGCTTTCAAAACATCCTCACATTTTGGCGATTTTTAAGATGGATTCTGAATATTTAAGATTCTCATTTAAAGTAAAGGTAGATTATTTCATACTTTATTCAATTCTCGTTTCTACCTTTGTAATTTTTCTTCTTCTTTTTTCTATGAACAAAAAAAGACGCACGAACGAAGCGTCTCTGCTATAAATAGTATCGTTTGCAAAAAGGATTTTCAAAACATTATCACATTTTCCCGATTTTTAAGGTGGTATCTGAATATTCAAGGCTCCCATTTAAACTGAAGGCAGATTATTTCATACTTTATTTAATGCTCGTTTCTACCTTTGTAATTTTTCTTCCCTTTTTGTTATGAACAAAAGAAGATACACGGACGAAGCCGAAAACAGTTCTTTCCGGGCGTCGATAAAATCAGGAACATGGAACATTCCGGAACATGCCGGAACATTCCGGAACACGAAAAAATAAAAGCAATACAATAATAACAAAATAACATAAAATAACGAAAAAAAAAAACAAACGAAAAATAAAGAAATGATTAAGAAAAAGAAACTCATCTCCCAGTATGAGAAAACAATATTTTGTCGGAAATAATTTGTTGGGCGAGTGAGGGTCCATGCAAATGATAGTAGTGAACTTACTTAACAGGACGGGAGAGGAAAGAAGACGACAAACCTTGTGTGACAACCGTGACAACAAATTTGTTTGAAATAACTTTTCGCCAACCATCACTTTCCTTCAAACAGATCTTTTTGTAAAAACCAGAAAACATTAATGCTGAGTGAAGATCACGACATAACATGCAAGTTATAGCCCTGTCACGTTTGTCACACACAAACATTTTGCTGTCCTCTTCTTCCTGCCGTCCTGTTGCGTAAACTCACTAGTAATGAGTGAAGGCTTGCTTCTACATTCAAAATATATTAAAATGGGTCGCGAGTAGGGGGGTTTTCAAGCTTTACTCACACAGCTACCTCTTGTAATTGTTTGCCAGGAGTTAATCATTTGGCGGTTAACCATTTACGGTTCTGCGATGGTCTGAAATGTCGGTGCAGTATGTCATGTCAAGCCGAGTCGGTAGTTAAGTTGCTTAAGTCCAAAGCGACGAACGCCAAAGCTCTTCTTACGGTCGCAAAGCCGTAAATGAATAACCGTTAAACCGCATGGCAAACATTTACAAGAGGTAGCTGTGTGAGTAAAGCTTGAAAAACCCCCTCCTCGCGACCCATTTGAATATATTTTGAATTTAGAAGCAAACCCTCACTCATTACTGTCATTTCCATGGACCCTCGCCCCACAAATTATTTGCGACAAAATATTGTTTTCTCATACCCGGAGATAATACGAGTTTCTTTTTCTTTATTCCTTTCTCTTTCGGTTTTTTGTTATTTTACGTTATTATTAATTTTTATAAAAATTATTTTACTATTATTATTATTATTTTATTTATTTTTTTTGATGAAAATTATTTTTACTTTTTCATGTTCCGGCATGTTCCGGAATGTTCCATGTTCCTGGTTTTATCGACGCCCGTTCTTTCATTCGAATGTGTACATTTTCAAGCGTATACAGAAATGGAAGTACAGACTATCAATATGTTATCAGCGCTAAGAAATCGTCCGGTCTAGTGGGGTTGGTTTCTTTTGTTTTCAGGCTCTGGGGGACACAAAACAAAAGAAACCTACCCCACTAGACCGGGGTCCTCCACTCCATGTAAACAGGGTCTTAATAACAACAGGTTATAACAACCCTTGACAAAATGATATTATTAGCGGTAAAACTGTACGAGGCTTGATGTTTTAAGTACCCAGTTCAAACAGGCCTTTAATTTTCCATTCAAATTTATTTACGGACAACCAGTGACAAGAAGCCGTGTTTGAGAAATGTATAAAAAGTGGGGATAAAAAGTTCACAGCAGAGAAGGGAGATTTGCTTGCGGACCACCGTGGAAACGCCGTTTCCAACTTTTTCAAATCAATTTTCGTTGTGAAGCAAGTTGTTTTGTTCTTTTCAGGTATAAATGGTCATAAATGTACAAAGATCCAGGGTACTTTTCAGTCAGGTCTTTGAAAAAGCGAACTGCAACGCTTTTAAAAATGTAATGTAAAACGGCAAGAGCCATAGTAGGACAGGTCCTATAATGATCTCTTGAAAACGGTCTATTGTTGACTACTAGAATACAACTGGGAAGCAAACTCTTCTGGTTAACAGTAGAACCTTCACTTCTTTCGTGAGGAAACACTTGTCTTCCATAAGGCTTAACAAAACTTAGAAATATATTATCTTTGTTATACTACTAGATGAGAAATTTCTGCAATTTGATTGGCTTAGAGCAGTGGTATTTCAGCCTAATTTGAAATACCTACATGTGAAAATTACAAAACTGTTGCGGGTAGTAGTATAAACAAGTAATAGCATGATTTGTACGTGATATTTGGCATAAATGCCACTCGTGATATCTCAAAATTGTCTCAAATTTCACTCGCCTAACGACTCGTGAAATTACATATAACAATTTCGAAATATCACCCATGGTATTTATGCCAAATATCACTAAAATAAAAACAAATCATGCTATTACCTATACAAATACTGACCTATTTTTAGGATGAAACAAAGTTTAAGTTTTTGTATTGTAGTGTTAATGATATGGATAGCGAATACTGTAAATCACCTCTGAAATAAACATAAACACTGCTCCCAAAGAAAAGTAGAAGCTGTACTTCTATTTTCTTCTTCCGTTATCCATGGTTCAGCTGAGCTGTTTGCAAGAGGGAAAAACTGAAATGGCGCGATGGTGGCGCGATTTGTTTTTCTCTTTCTTGCGGGTGCCACTTTCCTAGAAACTTCCAAGAAAATGGACGTCAAAAACTGTCAATGTTCCTGTAAAAAAAAACAAACCCAAACAAAACAAGAACAATTTTTCATAGAAATGACATCAAAATGTTCAAAACCTTGCAGTGAATCTTCTCGTCACGGCTGGTGGCTCCATTAGAGTTTTGAACACCTTGATGTCATTCTCATCATCGATAACTTTAAGAGTAAGACCATAGAAAAATTGTCAATTTCTTAAATTAAATACCGATGGAAATTCGCCAGTTGGCCTGCAGTTATGACTTCTCGCTTTACGAATCATGGATTAAGATTTCTTAAGGAATGTTGTTTTCATTTTCGTCCATATGCTATAGTGTTGTTTTTATTATCAATGTTCTCACAGCTGTGATTTCAGAAACTCTTCAGTTATTACATCAATTACCGTAAATGGTATGAAGAAGACAAACCACTTATAATCCGCTGTAAGTGAGGCTAAAACCTGGGTTTTTTTCTTGATAAATAACACAGAAGCTGTTCTTTCATCTTTCATACGTATAGTACCTGATAAACGTAGGCATGAAAGTAGCAAGCTTTAACCAAAACCAAACGTTTCCAGTTGAAACCAGAAAATGTTGTCAAAGAACCGAAAGAAACCAAAAGTAGAAAAACTTACAAGAACTGAAACGCATTTTAATTTTATGAATCGTCTTCACAAACATAGGTCATATGATGTTCATAGTGTTGAAGAAGAAGAGCCTCACTACTCATTTCCTCTTGACAAATCCAACAGCTGTGTTTCTCAGTGATGACTGATTGCGGGTCTGCTACGCCACTGTTTCCAGTCTCTCTGTGTGTTCGCAGGTTGTTTGTAAAACCTGTGGCCCTAAAGGCAACGTTTTTTCCTCCTGTTTTCCTCCGTTTACCTGATTCCAAACGTTTAGACAGACTTTTGTTCTTCTTGGAAAATTTACGCGACTTTAATAGAGTGTGGATTCTTTCATGCTTCCTCAGGTTAGTTGGTTGGCTAAAACACTTGCCACACTGTTTACATTCGTCAGGCTTTTTCCCAGTGTGAACTCTTTCATGAATCCTTAAGCTTCCTGCGAGTCTAAAACACTTCCCACACTGTTTACATTCGTAAGGCTTTTCCCCAGTGTGAACTCTTTTATGTTCCGTAAGGTGTCCTGCGTGACTAAAACACTTGCCACACTGCTTACATTCGTAAGGCTTTTTCCCAGTGTGAACTCTTTCATGAATCCTTAAGCTTCCTGCGAGTCTAAAGCACTTCCCACACTGTTTACATTCGTAAGGCTTTTCCCCACTGTGAACTCTTTCATGACACCTTAGTATGTATGATCTGCTGAAACACCTCCCACACTGTTTACATTCGAAAGGCTTTTCCCCACTGTGAACTCTTTCATGACACCGTAGTAGGTATGATCTGCTAAAACACTTTCCACACTGTTTGCACTCATAAGGCTTTTCCCCAGTGTGAACTCTTTCATGACTCCTTAGGTTTCCTGCACGACTAAAACACTTGCCACACTGTTTACATTCAAAAGGCTTTTCCCCAGTGTGAACTCTTTCATGACTCCTTAGGTTTCCTGCATGACTAAAACACTTGCCACACTGTTTACATTCAAAAGACTTTTCCCCAGTGTGAACTCTTCCATGTTTCCTTAGGTTTCCTGCTTGACTAAAACACTTGCCACACTGTTTACACTTGTAAGGCTTTTCCCCAGTGTGGACTCTCTTATGACGACTTAAGTGTCCTGCTTCGCTAAAGCACTTGCCACACTGTTTACATTCAAAAGGCTTTTCCCCAGTGTGAACTCTTTCATGACTCCTTAGGCTTCCTGCATGACTAAAACACTTGCCACACTGTTTACATTCAAAAGGCTTTTCCCCAGTGTGAACTCTTTCATGACTCCTTAGGTTTCCTACTTGACTAAAACACTTGCCACACTGTTTACATTCAAAAGGATTTTCCCCAGTGTGGACTCTTTCATGAGTCCTTAGGTGTCCTGCTTGGCTAATACGCTTGCCGTACTGCTGGCACTCAAAGGACATTGAGCTTGTTCCTCTTTTAAGGTGTTATGGTTAGGGCTGACTTTGTATTCAGATCTGAGAGTCCCCTGTTGTTTGTAAAATAACATAGACTTAGAATAATTATTGCTAATAAAGACTCATTATACTCCCTTGGGTTTTTGATTTCAAGAAAGCTTGAGGTTGGGTGGGTGGGGGGGATATACCGAGAGGGAGGGTTACTTAATTTAGCGAATCCCATCACCAAAAGTAGAAGGAAGAAACAGACTAGTGTCACAGTTCTGACTTCCTGTTTGGACCAGGAAACAACCAACCAAGCAGGAGATGGGATTAAATTTTTTTATAACAAATTAAAATGTAAAGTAGAAATGTTCGTACAAATGAGGTGGGATGTCGTGCAACTTAAGATAAAAAACAAATCTGAACTTCCACCACTTAAATAAACCATAGTGAAAGACTCCACATAAAGTAGTAAAGTCATGATCAATAAATACAGTCAATCAGTTTGTGTGGAGAATAAAGTGGGGCTGGAGAGGGTGGCATGATAACTTCCTCTAATTATGGTATCTGGGCACCTCTACAGAGGACAGAGAGTCTGGCTTGGTCATACCCTATTCCATGGCGATCTTGTCCCATTAGTTATTGAGGGAAGAGAGGCCACCTGGAAGACCTTGAGTGGGAATGCTGGATAGAGTAAAGGATCGTGGCCCTTATTTAGTGGTCTGAAGGCACACCTTAGATCAAGAACTATACGCAAGGACCTGCCTGTGGGCAGAAAACACACAAACGCACACACACACAAGGCAGACCTCTCTCAGAAAAGTGAAGGGGCCCAGCTGTAGTTAAATTTCTGCAATTCCAGTAACAAGAAAGGAACTTCGTTAATAAGGACTCCAAAGAGACATACATGGGTTTCTGGATGATGAGGGGGTGTGTATTACACAGGCTCCAATCACAAGAAACAGTGAAACCTGTATTTAGCAGAACACCCTCTACTAGCAGGATTATTATGACAATTACTGCACTTCAGATCTGAGGCACCTCTTAAACTATTGTATACTAACTACTATAACCATACAACATATGCATTGTACACAAACTGATTATCAGTTTATCGTGACTGCATGCAAATGTCAGGGACAAACACAGACTGGAGGACAGAGAGAGAGAGCAGCGACTGCCAAACTGCTTAAGTTTTTGATATGCTGAAAACCTATCCCTCATTTTTTGAATTATTTCAGTTCGACAAGCTTCGCTGTTGCCCTGAAAGTATCTTTTAGTGCAAGAAGAATAATTTTTTGTTCATGGAAAGTGTCCAAATGTCTCCACGCGGCTTCATTTGCGAATGCAAGGAAATTTAATGCTAGCGAATTTCAGGTTAAAAATTAGGGCAGTCTGAGACAGCTCCCATATCGAAAACCGATCGTCTAATTTTTCTCACAAATAAAAAACTTTTGGCTGGAACAAGCCACCTTAGGTTTCTTATCTACCTAAAAGCTATCCATGAAAAAAAAATGAAAGAAACTGATTTTTCAACTCTTGCCATGAAATTAAGATTTTGGTCGATTTTTCCTGACAGTCGCTCGTAAAGGAAGCCCGAGGTCACGCAGTTTATAAATGTGCGTCTAGTCTCTGGCCTACAGTTCATTACAAGTCATCAGTGTGTTCGTGATCAGTACCGAATCAGCATATCACTATCACAGCTTGGACGAAGTACTGTTTTGAAAGTCTATTGTAGCAGGAAAAAAGCTTCAAGAAAAACTCCAGAAAGCGGTTTGTTGTCAATTTTTCCAGGGAAGTGTCGAACTTTTAAAAAATGTATCAAGTAAAAGTGGGCTTGGCTCATATTGCCTTGGGTTAAAAATAGAAGCGACTGTTGAGTTTGGGCATAGAGTGAAATCTCAATGTGTTTGACTATTAAGTAAAGTTCTCACACACTGAGTCAACTCCCGATGAATATATCCATAAAAATTATCAACGAAACCTCACCAGAGTATTTAGTGTTTGTTCAGAAATGCCAAGCGATTCTAAATAAAGGTTTTGTATAATTTGTTGTGGACAAATTCTCCAAGCTTGCATTTAGTATATTCTTTAGAATCTTGACTCACGGGTACGGTTTTCAAAATACTAGATGCCTGGCAGTCGGAAATTCACGTCAAATTTGCAAGAAATATCTCATTTAATTTGTGTAATAACATCAGGTAGTTGTTAAGAAAAAACAAGTGATTTAAAACACTGCTTTGGGCTTGAAGTAAAGGCAACTGTCGAGCCTGGGCGTAGAGTGAAATCTTTATTAGTTTCGACACAGTGAAGTATTTGCGTCACGCAACTGAAGTGCTACACTGGAGGTTGAAGGGCACTCTTCTGCTGAGTCGACAGACTCAAGGTTCTTTGTAACTCTCAGAGGAACTTTTCTAGAAGATATCCGGTAAGACTATAGACTCTTTATAATTTACATAGAAATCGAGTAGACTCAGCAGATGCCGAGAAAAGGTTTTCGTGAAAGTACAATGAGAATTTCCGACTGCCGGGCCGATGATCTAGTATTTTGAAAACCGTTCTCGTGAGTCAAGACTCTAAAGAATTTATATGCATATACAAGCCCTGAGAATTTGTCCTTAACAATACGAACCTTTATTTAGAATCGCTTGGCATTTCTAAACAATCACAGTGTGTGAGAACTTGAATGTTTTCTAAGTGTCGAAAACATTGAGATTTCACTGCATGCCCAAACCCAGAGTCGCTTCTACTTTTAACCTAAGACAATATTTACAATCGTTTGAGATTCCTAAACAAATATCTTATGTTCTTAGAGGAATTAAACGAGCTATTCCGAGAAAATTGGTCAAAATTTCTGACTTCCGGGTATCTAGTTTTTTGAAAACAGTTTCGGGCTGCCGGGTATCTAGACACTTCCAAGCATCAGCGGTATGTGTATCCATCCGCCGGTAGCCAGTCGCTATCATTTGACTTTAGCAACTCAACGTATTTCTAATGTATTGAAATCCTGTCTTACCGTTAGTAAAAAGATCTTGCAGCTTTGATCAAATCACACGAAGAAAGATGAAATTGAAACCTGGGAAGAGTGGAAAACACGTGGGGAGACGTGGACAGAGCTGAACAACGTCTGCGCATGTGCAGAGACGGGAGAGGTCTGGGATCTAACCTAGTATCGTTTTCAACGGGATTTTCAAAACATCCTCACATTTTGGCGATTATTAAGGTGGATTCTGAATATTTACGGTTCTCATTTAAACTAAAGGTAGATTATTTCATACTTTATTCAATTCTCGTTTCTACCCTGGTAATTTTTCTTCTACTTTCTTCTATGAACAAAAGAAGACGCACGTACGAAGCATACCTGCAATAATAGTATCGTTTGCAAAGCGGCCCGGGGGGGTACTCGCAGAAAAATTGGGTAGGGGTGTGCGGCCCGCTTCCCAAAACCCTTACCCTATTTATGACCAAAATCTGCGATTTTCCCTACCCTATTTATGACCAAACCAAAAATTTGATACCCTATTTATGACCTGACCCTTAAATCAATACCCTGTTTCAGACCTGCCTTATAATTATTTCCCTAGTTCAGACCAATGTTAAAGGCAATGTCTATCTGCTTTTATTAGGTTAGGGGGACATGATAAGGAAGTAGCTTCTTCTAAAAAAGTGCATTCAAGACTACAGTGTAAAAATCGTTACCCTATTTATGACCAAAATGGCGGCAAAATAGCCAAAATCGATACCCAATTTATGACCAAAACGGCTGAAAAACCCTACCCTTTGGGGCCGCACATACCTATATAGCCCATGTTAGGGAGTACCCCCCCGGGCAAAGCGGTCAGTATAAAAGAGGGACTGCGGACTGCGGACTGCGGACTGCGGAACACGGACTGCGGGCTGGGTATAAAATACGGACTAGGTATAAAATGCGGACTCCGGACTGAGTATAAAACACGGACTAGGTATAAAACGCGGGCTACGGAATATGACGACTTTAAAAAGGTAAAACTGAGAGAAATGGAAAGCGGAATAGCAAAAACAGTAGTCCCAGCTTTAACATTCCCTTGGCTCTTCACTTAGTCTATTCTTCCCACGGAGAAGGAAGGTCATGCCGGTACTCAAGGCAACTGAAATTAAGCTCTGAATTTTAAAAAAAGAGGGAGTTAGAAGAAATTTCAATTTGCAGTTTTAAACCAATAAGAAGCACCGAATTTAAAAAAATAGTGCTGGTTTTAGTTAGATCAGTAAAATTCTTATCGGATGCCATAATTCCGTTTCAAATGAAGCCTTGGGAATACGAGGACTGAATGAAGAACTCAGACGAGAAGGTCAATGTAGGGGCATTCCGCGATGCACAAAAGCAGTATTTAGGGGGAAGGGATTACTCTCATACGTGAATAATAACCGAAATGAGTCATCCAACGTTATATTCTAAGCGATGATTATGATGGCATGATTTACACCCTGCTCCTGATCCCCGGGACGGTGGTACTACTGGGTATTCTTGGTGGGGGTGTGGTGCGCGGTTCTCCGAATCCTGACCTTATTGCAGACCAAAAAATGTCATTTTCAACATCCGTTTTCAGACCAGATCTCTAAAATCCATACCCATTTTCGGATCTGGCCTAATTTAGCCTGTTCCAGGCTCTCAGATAGTTGGGGAAACTCCCCAGTTTTGTCCCGTTTTATTTTCCTGTTTTCGCTTTTTCAATTCAGCGGACCCAACTATCTCAGAGCCTGGAACAGTTTAGGTTTAATTAGGCAGAAATTATGTCATCATTACCAAGTAAGAGGGGAAACAAAAAAGTTCTCCAAATGCATTTCGAATTCGCACATTTCTATTTCGTTCTTATTCATTTGGAATTGAAACGATAAATACATCCATTCATTTACGCTCCCGAAGTTCCCTCGAAAACTATACCCGATTCCACACATAATGGGCAAAGTGTTTTCAGACCAAAAAGGCCCCAAGCCCCTACCCTTTCATTATATAATGACAATGACAATGACAATGCTTTATTTAT